GAGATTATTTTGTAAGGAATTTAAGGTATTTGTAGAGCACACAAATATCTAATAAGTGATATACAAAATATAGATTACTTGATGAAATGTGCCCTACTCTGTGTCAGAATACCTGAGAACTTTTTTCTCCAAATATTGATTTATTTGAAATGCAGAGTTAAAGAAAGACAAGAAGAGGCAGAGAAGAAATCTTCCATCTAGTGGTTCACTCCTAAGTGGCCACAACAGGTAGGGCCAGGTTGAGTTGAAGCTGGCAGCCAAGAACTCCATCCTGGTCTTCCCTGGGGTAGTAGGGGTCCAAGCACTCAGGTCATCTGCTGCTTTCTCGGGTACATTAGCAGGAGCTGGAATAGAGATGCAGCAGAGCAGCCCTGTGACACACTATATTTTTTCATTTTTTAATTAAATTTTTGACAATCTTTACATACTGGGGTGAAAAGGTTTAAGGGCTATGGGAAAGTGGGTAAGACTATTATTTCCATATTGTTTCCTTCATGTATCAGAGGTAAAGGAGGATATTAAGGGAGAAGCCCCACCCAGTTTCCCACCCACCGCAGATTCCGGATGTGGGGCATGCTCTGAGATACTTGCTCAAGTGGTTTTGATAGTTCAGCAGTTATGAATCGCTGCCAATATCGCCACTCCAAGCACAATGAGGTCATTGAAGAATCCACTGATTGACATAGTCCGTCATAGAGTCTCCGTTTGCCCAATATTTCGCTGCCAGCATATAGCTGAGGTGGTTGATTGACTTGTTCTGTCTTTTCTTGGTTAGGTTTCTGAGTCCGGCATTTCGATTGGGGAGATCCCCAAAGGAACTTTGAGGTGTTCCCAGACCAGATTCTTGTATACACTAGCAAGCACAGGGCCCAGCGCAGTCCATTGCCCCAATTAGCTGGTGGTTGCAATTGCTGAGTTGGTTCTGTTTTCATCCCCGACTTCACTGAAACTGATGGGTATTGCAGTGTGACATACTATCTTAAGCCTTTGCCTGCAGTATCAACATTTCAAATGGACACCCAACTCAGCTCCACTTCTGATCCAGCTTCCTGTTAATGTGTCTAAGAAAGTAACCAAAGATGGCCTGAGTCCTTGGGCCCCTGCGCACCTGTAGAAGACTTGGAAGAAGTTCCAGGTCCTAGCAAAAGTGAGGAGCTGGAGTGGAAGGTAGAGTAACTGAGAGTCAAACTGACGGTCATATGAGATACTGTCACCACAGGCAGTCTTAACGTACTACACTGCAGTGCCAGCCTCAGTCTATTGATTTAAGAATGCAAGAAAATGAAAGCAGTGTAGCCTAGGCATAGCCACGATTGCCTTTGTAGGCAGACATATCTGGATTCAAACACTCAGCTCTTTCACTAACTTTGTAACATTTTGTGGGGTACTTATCCTCTCTAATTCTGAATTTTCTCAGAAGCAAAAAGGAGAGAATGATACATACCTCATGGAGGTATTTCGAAGATTAATTCAGAATAGCTTGTTGCTGCAAAGGTGATTAACTGGTAAAAGTCAAGCAAAACATAGTAGTGTTCCTGGAGAAAAGCCAAGCAATTAGTAAGCAGCTGGATTTTTAGAGTCTGAAGAACAAGATGGTTTTTTAAACTTTCTTTCCAGTCAAGCAGACTGAATTGTAGTGAACTGAGTCTCCCTCCCTATCCCGGTTTCTGTTTATCCCAATTATAAGATAACCCAATGAGTACTGAGTTTCTGCTGTGTTGGTGTCTAATTATGTGTTCTGACTTTTTTGTTTTTTCTCCTCTTGCTTTCTGAATAGCTGGAACAGACATGTTGTTCAAAACCTAAGTAATGTTTCCCATCATAGTTAGGCAAACATTGATTTTTCAGTAAAAACCCAGGCTTTTGCCTACTGCCCTGGCACTGGTTCAGCTGGCCTTCATCTAGTCATTCTCCAGTCAGGTAACAGGCACTGTGCGAAGCATTGCAGGAAATATAAAGATGTCCATGATCCTCTTGGAAAATGTCCCAGTTTCCTACATGTACACAGAATGAGGATCTGTAGGAAACTTGAAATAAGTGCCAGAACTGATAGTGACCTCATCTCTACAGCATGATGTGCAGTAGGAGCAGTTGGTGCTGGGGCCCAGAGGCATAGCAGGTGGATTTCCAGGGAGCAAATGGAGAACACAGACAGTCTGCTTATTTTATGGGTTTGATGATTGAAAAGAGAAAAGGAAGATGATAGGAGATGAGTGCCATGCTGTGTGGACCCCAACCACCAGAATTAGATCAAATCTCATGATTATATGACCACCTTACTTAATAAGGGAAATCCTACAAAACACTCCTGAGAAATTGAGCATAACATATTGTAAGGATGCTGTTTTTCCTATCACTCTCTGGTTTCTTAAAATAATACTGATGGGGGCACAGTGCAATAGCCTAGTGGATAAAGTCCTTGCCTTGCCTGTGCCAGGAACCCATATGGGTGCCAGTTCATATCTCAGCTGCTTCAGTGTCATCTTCCACAGCTCCCGTGTGGGTAGCAGGGGCCCAAACAGTTGGGCTATCTTCTACTGCTTTTCTCAGGTGGTTAGGAGAGAACTGGATCAGAAGTGGAATAGCTGGGAATTAAGTTGATGCCCATATGGGATGCTCACATCACAGGCAGTGGCTTTACCTGTTACACCACAAAATCAGCTCTCAGTTTTTATTTTATATACTTCTGTTTTATCTGCTGCCATTTTTCTTTCTAGAAAAAATATCTTTCCAGTGAATTGAAATAATGGCTTCTTCATGAGTTCAGCCTTTGACAGACATTAGGCTGGTAGTTAAGATGCCCATGTCCCATATTGGAGTTACCTGGTCCAGTTTCTAGCTTCCAGCTGATGAAGACCCTGGGCTGCGGCAGGTGATGGCTCAAGCAGTTAGGTCTCTACCACCCACATGCGTGTCCAGGATTGGGTTCCATTCTTGCAGCTGTGCCACAGGTCCAGAACTGACTATCTGGGGAGTAAACCAGCAGATGTGAGCATTTCACTTGCTCTCTCACTCACTCTTTATCCCTCTCAAAGACAGAGTTTTTCCTTTTCCTGGGACTAACTGTACAATATTAGCAATTGAAGCACAGACATATGTAAAAGAAACGTAGCTGCAGGTACATCTAACTAGTGAGTTTAGTGTGGATAATCTCAGGTAGTGTCCCATGGTTTAGGTTAATTGCTTCCCTCCTTAGGCTTTTGGTACTTTGCTGTGTGGTGTTATTAAGGGAACTGGTGGTATTTAACAGGGCACAGTGATTTCAGCCAATTGTGACTTCACTTCTTGGGCCTGAAGCAAGGCCACTAGAGGAGGAAGTCTGAATAGGCTGTGCTTTGAATTCCACAACCAAGGAAGTGGTTGTTCAGGAGGGAATCTGCACTTCATCCAGTCTTGCCGTAGGGTTAACACCACCTATCCCTTAAAAAAAAAAAAAAACCCACCACCTATCCCTACAGTTGTCTTGAGATTCCTTCCTCTTCACTGCTTTGGGTTTTGTCTTTATCCTGTTGTGCCAGATTTTGAGATACCCAGAAAATCATCGAGTCTTAAGTTGGTGCTAATGCGTAAAGGGCACAGTTCATTCAGGTTAATCTAGGTCTGCCAGCCACACCCCCCAACAGCCCAGCAGCAGGAACAACAAGGCAGAAAAAGAGAGTGAGGTTCCACAGCACAGGGTTCTTATACATTTCAGGACATTTCCATATAATTAAACAGTCATGATTGGTCAGTTTATCTGTTAACTTTCAAAAATAGCAAGTTGGCAGGCTTCTATTGGTAGGTTTGAAGCAAGCAACTTTCAAAAGGTACGAACTGATGAGCTATAGGGCAGTGGGTCTTCTCTAACACCAGGGAGCTCCTTCCTGAGGAGTGGTCTGCCTGCGTGACCTGCCAGGTGTCCTGCCGAATGTCATGTAGACTGTCAGGCCTGGAGTTCACACAATCCCCAGCCAAGCAATTAAGGCAGAAATTACAAAAGCAGAAAACATCTAGGTTCTTCAGTCTCTCTGCATTTGAATAACAATGTATCTGTCTAGCTTGGATAGTTTGGTGGAAAGATCTCATAAGTCACCTAAACCCACAGCCTTCCTGGGCAACATCTCTTTGATCTACTGGAGCTTTTTCATTCTTTTTGCTGAGTCATTTTTCTCACTAGGGTTTGCTTTTTTTGGAAAAAAAAAATTATTAGAAAGTAAGTATTATTGAGAGAAGAAGAAAGAAATTTTCCACCTACTGGTTCACTTTTAAAAAATTTATTTTTTCTAAATTTTTTAATACAGTTTCATAAGCTCTGGGACTTCCCCTAACCCTCTCCCTCTGACTGATCTGCCAAAACCAGGGACCTGGTACTGGATCTGGGTCTCCCACTTGGGTAGCATAGGCCCAAGCACTTATGCCATTTCCACTGCTGTTTCAGGCATATTAGTAGAGAGTAGGATTGAAAGTGGAGCTGGCTGGACTCCAACCGGTGCCTCTATAGGATGCTAGCATCTCAGGTGGTAGGTTAACCAGCTGCTCCAAAGTGCCAGCCCCCACACCAAGATTTTCTTTAGTTATTTTTTTTTTTTTTTACCTAAGGTAGGTAAGCACTGTCATTTTGGCTTTGCACAGTGGAATCAAATCCTTAAACTTTCGGTGACTTTATTTCAGCAATGAAATCAATGGCTACCCTTTTAGTCTGCATTTGAACTTAACCTCTTACCTTGAGGCAAGTTCACATCCTTAAATTTGAGCTGTAAACCTCAAGTGTGCCTGGTACCATAAAGACCTCATGGCTTCTGATGGATGACTGTCTCATTTCATATTTGTCTTTCATTTCTCTTCAGCCGTTCCGTTTACTTCATTGCTTAATTCTCTGGGCCCCAATTCTCTCTCCCCTTCTGGTTGCTTGGTTTTACAAATATCCTCTCCTATCCTGACTTAATAGGTTTGACTTCAGAGCATGATTTATGCCTTCTCAAAGGGTGTGGTTTTACTCTAAATTATTATTCCCTTCGCAGCTCCAGTGTGGGAAATCCAGCTTCTGTTATGATTGATGTGTCCCAGGAAAACACAAGGAAATCAGCTGGGTCTCCAGCTAAGGTAATTGAGCCAAGATTTCGAAAGTATCATCTTTGGTGGGAATGACATTTTCAATGATCAAGTATCATGGAAAATATTTTTTGCAGGGTTTTTTCTTGTTTGGTTTTGTTTTGTACTAGAGAGAAATCATTTTCATACTTTAGTGTAAGAAGTTACTCTTATGGTGAAACAATGGATGAATATTATATAGTTATATTGTCGAAGATCAAAATTTTTTACCTTGGAGAGTAAAAAGTCATTTGGTGCTGCTGGTTCTAGGCATAAGAAAAGTAGCTTGTTAGTTCCATATCAGTCCTTATTCTTACTGCTTCCTGAAGCTAAAATCTCCTTTAGAGACATATTTTGGGGAAGAAATTACCAGTTTTTGAAATTGTAGATAGTAAATGGTGATATTCATTCTTACATTAATTTTCAAAATTTCTATTTACTGATACCCTTTTTGTCATCGGAACCATTGGCTTGAAGTGTCTTCTCTATCTCTTAGCTGTGGTTCTTACAGCTGTAAGCCAGCAGCCGAAGCTTGGTGGAAAGAACACCAGTAGGATTCTGACCGGATTGAGATCCAGACTTGCCTTGACTTTGTGGCCTTGATATAACCAGTGCCAGATTTTCTCACCATTAAAACAATACTTTGATTTGAACACTTGTATTTGGTCTAATATTATAAGACCCTGATGTGATATTTTATACTTTTATCTATTTTATTACTTTCGTGGTATTGATGGTAATTCTGGCTAAAGATCCATCAAGACAACCAATTTTCAAACATTGTAGATAACAGCTTACTGGACAAAGTTATCAAATATCAGAAATAATAAGCACTTGTTAAGCAATCTACTTGTTAGTTTGACATTTTAAATAAGTTTAATAAACAACATTTTTCCCCAGGAAAGGAAGAATCCTTTTAACGGCTCTATGTTGCCAGAAGATCACTTATCGCAGCAAATCAAAACTGAACAGTCAAAAAATGGAAGAGCTGGTTTATCTCAAATACCAAAAGAGGGTAAATATTATTTTTATGGACTAGACATTTTTATCTTGGTTACCTGTGGACTATGGGAAATTCTCAGAGTTCCTTTCGCAAAAATATTTTGCAAGAGAAAGTAAAAAGGCCTGAGCCTTTTCTGACTCTGCTGTGCCCACTGATTTCCTCCTTGAGAGAGGAAACAGAAATTTTAGAGATTGGAAGCTTATACATTTGTCTTAGAGTTGTCACATGTTACATGAACTCTATTCTTTGAGTTCCCTAATAGTTAGCTGAGAAATTTTTTAGAAAGTATTCAGTCTTAACAGTGTTTGTCAGATACCGACCATGTGCTAACATGGTTCTCTGTTTAAAATGCAAAGCGGCTAAATCCAGTGGAAATATTTGCTTGCCAATGTGATGCTCCTCTAATCTATAATGACTAGCCCAGGAATATTTGATGAAGTCTGTGACTTAATTAAGTTTTCCTCTTAAAGAATTTTACTCTGCCTTCACATCACTGATAGGAAATATCACTACTAGACAGCAAGTTCTTTAAAATCAATTATAGGATGATTTCACACGCATTAAAGATTGATCAAGGGATAGGAAATTAACATCTGAGCAGTGGGCCAAGAGTTTCTCATGTCTTCCCTAAAGTAAAGCTTTCTCTGCTCTACATCACACACACACACACACACACACACACACACACACACGTGTATTTTCCATTGGGTACACTTTATATATAATATTTTGTAGGGAAAAAGAATCACTGTTACACATTCCCTGTTACCTGTTTAAATTTTTTGATGAATTGGGGATTTTTGTTGTTGTCATATGTGTGTGTGTGTGTGTGTGTGTGTGTGTGTGCATATATATACATAAAACCTGGGGCAAGCATTTGATCTATCCATGACAGTGGTCAAGACCCCTGCATGCCATTTCAGAGTGCATGGGTTTTTGTTCCAACTCTATTCTCAGTTCTGGCTTTCTGCTAATATGCCTCTGAGAGATGTTGATTCAGTAGTGACGTCCTTGCCACCATTTGGGAGATCTTAGATGGATTTACTTGCTGCTGGCTTCATCCTGGCCATGTCTTCTCTCTCCCATTATCCCACTATTCCTCTCTTTCCTTCTACTCCTTCCTCTTTCTCTCCCTCCATCTCTTATTCTCTCCTTTTCCTTTGTCTCCAAATAATTTTTTTAATTGAGTTTCCTTTTCTGATTTCCATACATGAATTTTTAATTAATTATTTTTATTTGAAAGCCAGAGTAGGTGAGGGGAACAAAGAAATCTTACATCAACTGGTTCACGGCCACAACAATCAGAATTGGGCCAAACTGAAGTCAGGTTCCAGGAGATCCTTTTTCATCTCCCATGTACGTGGGTCATCATTAGCTGCTTTCCCAGGCACATTAACAGAGAACTGGATCATAAGTGGAGCAGCTGGAACTCAAACCAGCAATGCAATCAGTGGCTGAATTCATTGCATCACAATGTTATTAGCCCAGCATGCATGAGTTTTTAAAATGACCTTTTAATCCTTCTTTAAAAAAATTTTTTTGCATTGTGCGTAGAAGTCCACAAAGTACATAAAGAACAATATTCTCAAATGTACAATACATATATAGCACAATGAAGTTGACATGTGAGTTTTTAATAGCTTTTATTTTGTAGGGCAATGTTAGGTTCATAGCAAAAAGAGTAAATATTATATGTTCCATGCCTTCAGATGCATTGCCTCCCATATTATCAACATCTTTCATCAGATTGGCACATTTATTATACCTGATGAACTTCATTGAGATACTATTATCACCCAAAGTCCACCTTGGGTTCGCTCTTTCTGTCATATCTGCCGGGTTTGGGCAAATGCGTAATAATAGGCATCCCCCATGTTATATCCATTCAGAATAGTTTCACTTTTTGAAATGAAGACTCATTTATTCATTGTTTATTTGAAGGGCAGAGTTGCAGACATAGATAGGAAGACACAGAGAGAGAGAGAGAGATCAATCTTCCATTCACAGGTTTACTTCTGAAATGCCTACTATGGCCAGAACTGGATCAGGCTAAAGCCAGGAACCAGAACTTCTTTCAGATCTCCCCCATGGGACCAGTTGGGCCATATTCTGTTGGTTTCTCAGACACTTCAGCTGGGACCTAGATCAGAAATGCGTAGCTGGGACTTGAACCAACACCCACAAGGGATGTTGGTATTGTAGACGGTGGCTTTACTCTTCTATGATACAATAATGCCTCCAATTAAACTTATTTAAAGATAGTTTTCATTCTAAAGTTAGTATTTATTTGATACATCACCTAATGTGTTCTGATTTTCAGGTGAATTATCGGAATCACAAGAAAATTTAGCTATCCAAAATAATTCAAGCCAAAATCCAGAGAATTCAGAGCAGACTTTGCCAGAGCCTGCAGATGGCTCCCAAATCAAGACCCCAATTCCAAAAGCCAGGAAAATGATCTACAAATCAAATGATTTAAAGCAAGATGATAATCAGTCTTTCCCCAAACAGAAGACAGATGTCCTGAATCCAAGAGGGGTTCCGAGAGGGATCCTGAAGCGCAACTCCAGTTCTAGTAGCACAGACTCAGAGACCCTTCGTTTGAATCACAGTTCTGAACCCAGGAGCAAGCTTGTGTCACCTGGCCTAACCATCCATGAGAGAATTTCTGAGAAGGAGCATTCTTTAGATGATGATTCTCCCCCCAGTTCAGTGGAGCCACTAAAGCATGTGAGGTTCTCTGCAGTGAAGAACGAACTTCCACAGGGTCCCCAGCTCAGCCATGGCCTGGAAGTGGGGGAATTTAGTGTTTTAGAACCTGACATGTTGAAAAATGAAGAAGATACTACAGGAGATGTAGATGAGTCTCAGAAAGACCTCAAAACTTCCCCACACAGAGATGCGTGGCCTATTCTTCAGTCACCCTCAAGCTCAAGTGCACCAGAAAATGAAACAAAATCACCAGTGACTTCTGGGTTTTTCCCAAATTCTGGGCTCAATTCTGACACAGAAGTTTTAACTACAGGACCACAACTCTCTGAAAATTCACCTACCCTCAATGAACATGAAGCTAAATCATCAGAATTAAGAAAGTTTGATCCAGAATTACCCAGAAACCCTGCTGGTAAGAGTTGTCTCTAACAGACTACAGACTATACACACACACACACACACACACACACACACACACGTCCAGTGTGCTAGGAATGAAGAGTTGTCACTACTAGACTATAAAAACTATTCCCACCATCCCCTGCCACACACACACTAGCCCAGTGTGTTAGGAATGGCCAGACCAATCAGCTTGCCTGGAGAATACCAGTTGTACCTCCTAGGTGTTCTAGCTAGAATTCATACAGATACTGCCAGGGAGTATTTATTTTCTGAAAGGGTTTAGAGGTTTTTTCCAAACGCCGATAATTAAGAAAATGAGGACAGTGGTTTCTAACCAATTATACAGTAACCTGAAAATGTAGCCAAATGAATTATCTTTAGAAAAATGACAGTGTTTTGAATTAAATCAAGGTATACATACAGAAGGAAAGAGTTAAAGAAATGTTCAAACCTTTGTATGCAGTAAATATATAATTACCTATGCAATTGATCAAACTTTGCTATCTCTTGTAATATCAGAAAAATCTTTTTAATGCCTTATTTTTATTGGAAATGCAGAGAAAGAAGGTGAAACAGAGAGATCTTCCATCTGCTGGTTAACTTCCCAGATCTCCAAGAGGGCCAGAGCTTAGCTGTTCCAAAGTTAAGAGTTAGGAGCTTCTCCTGGGTCTTCCATGTGGGTGTAGGGGCCCAAGTACTTTAGCGCTCTGCTGTTTTCCAAGACCATTAGCAGCAAACTGGATCAGAAAATGGAGCAACTGGGGCAAAAATGTATGTCCTTAATGAGATGCTAGTGCTACAGGCAGAGGATTTGCTTACTACACCGTGACATCAGTCTCCATCCACCCCACCCCCACAAAAGTCTTCACTTTCTTAGCAATGAAAGGTGAGAAAATGGACTTTGAGGCTTTACTATGTAAAAGCCCCAGATTGTGACTTCATCAGGACCTCTAGACATTTGTTCTTAAACTTTAAATTTTCTGGAAGAATTTCTTCCTTCTAGCTGTGTGAGTAGAGGGGCAACAAGGACACTACCTCTCTTTGTTAACTAGCCCTGTATTTGTCTTTTTAAAGATTTTACTTTTATTTACTCATTGATTTTTAGATATATTTATTTGAAAGGCATACACAGAAAAAGATCTTCCATCTACTGGTCTTCTCCCAAAATGTTCTCAACAGCTGATTCTGGGGCCTACAACTGCATCCACATCTCCCCCCATGGATGACAGAGTGCAATCTTTGCTGCTTTTCCAGGCACATTGAATTACAAGTGGAACAACCAGAACTTGAACTGGTATCTATGTGGAATGCTGACATCATAGGTAGCAGTGTCACCAGCTGTGTCCTGTGTCACACTGACTCCAATTAGCCTTATCTTGGAGTCTTACCACTCAAGTAATGCCTCAATCCACTTTCACATACCTATCTTCTTACTTCATAATTCTTTTGTTTTTTAAAACATGGAAACAGTGGGGGAAATATTGTTGTAATTTCACCCCAACTTGAATATGTCTGCCCCAATTGCATGATAATTTTTTACAATCAGAAATATTTACAACAGCAGCAATCAGGTTTCTAACTCAACTGTTGTCTGTTTCCACTGTTTATATTAGGTTAACACTGAGTCACTTTTCCTTAGCTCGGCAGTTTCATTGATGTTTGAGGTCAATCCACTTCACACAAAAGGTATTCCCCAACTAGACATTTTAAATCATTTGAACATAATAACATTTTTCTTCAAAAAAAAAAAAAGGTCAAAATGAGCAATAGCTTCTTCAAGAAATAGAAGAGGGCCCAGCGTGGTAAGCCCAGCAGCTAAAGTTGTCGCCTTGCATGCACTAGGATCCCATATGGTCAGCAGTTCTAATCCCGGTGGCCCTGCTTCCCATCCAGCTTCCTGTTTGTGGCCTGGGAAAGCAGTCAAGAACAGCCCAAAGTCTTGGGACCCTGCACCCACATGGGAGACCCAGAAGAAGATCCTGGCTCCTGTTTTCAGATTGTCACGACTCCAACCATTGTGGTCACTTGGGGAGTGAATCAATGGATAAAAGATCTACACACACCCTCCCCCCAAAAAGAAAGAAAGGAATCCATTTTAAAGATAATCACTAGTATTTGACTAGATATCCCCAAATAATTGACTAATGTTTACCTGAATGTTTTTGAAAGCCCAAAAGAAATTCTCTTTGCTAATATTTCCTTTTATCATAATCAATATATAAAAAGATCAGCCCTCCCTGTTTTTGAAATTGCACCTGCTTCCTCATGGGCTGTGGTTTCTATTTAATTATTTATGATTTCTGATCTGTAAATTCTAACTAGCCATTTAATTTTGGAGAAAAATATATTAGGATTGGCTGACAGCCCTTCTGGTCAGAGAATACTTGTACACAAAATTCTCCCACTAATGCCACACTTTGCCCTGTTTTGGAAACCATGAGATTACAAGTAAATATTTGAACATAAAAAGAAAATAGGACTAAATGTAGTTAACTGAGTGTGTGGAAAGCTAAGGTTTTATGGCTCTGAACTTTATGACAATCAGTATCATACTCATTATCACTCTGGGAAAAGAAAAGATTTTTTGAGATTTTATTTTTTATTGGAAAGGCAGATAGACAGAGAAAAGGACATACAAAGATCTTCTGTCCAGTAGTTCACACCCCAAGTGGCCTCAACAGCTAGAGCTAAGCCAATTCAAAGCCAAGAGCCAGGAGCTTCCTCTGGATTCCCCATGAGAGTTCAGGGTCCCAAAGCTTTGGGCCATCCTCTACTGCTTTCCCATGCCACAATCAAGGAGCTAGATGGGAAATGGAGGAGCAGGGATGGGATCCTGGTGAGGATTTAGCCACTAGGCAATCGCTCTGGGCCCAAAAGAGAAGACTTTTTTAGATAAATGAAATATTATGCATTGAATTTTTAAAAAGAAAATTATTATTTCAAAAGTAATAACTCACTGTAAACATTTAAGAAGAAATGCAACAGAATTTCTAAAAATGTCATCTGTGATGTCATCATTTTGCATTAACCATCTTTAACATTTAATTGTAGAAACTTTCAATAATTCATACACATGAATAAAATTTATCAATTTTATCTACATTGCCCAAAGTGCTCTTTTGAGCAACGATTTTACATTTTTTATCATCATTAAATAGTTGACAAACATTAAATTCTGAAATATTACAATTAGTAACATTTCATGATATAATGCATATTTAAAGCAGAAAAACAGTATCTGTTACAACAATAATTGTACAAACCTTTCACATTTAGCTGAGATTGAAAATTAAAGATAGCTTAGGATTTTGTTAACAGATACACCTACTAGTATGTTTGAAATGTGGTGACTTTATAAACATTCAATTCACACAATCTTTAGGAATATTATGTACATATATTGCATACCTTAGCAACTTTAGGAGGAAGACAAATGCTAAAATATCTGAGCCTTAGTTTTAAAGCCTTAACTAAATTCCTAGCAAGCGTCAGTGAAATGCACAAGTTTCTTCCTCCAAATGAATTATGTGCCCCATGACCATGGCTCAGAAAAGACTCTGTTTTCTTGATAGCTTAGAAAGAACTTGAAGATCCTTCAACCTTGTAGCCATTAGTTGCCTAAAATTGCAGAATAGAAAGCAATCACATTATCATCAATCTTTTCATTTAGCTAACAGCAATAATGTCTAACTTACAAACAGAAAGGAAATGGGACAAAATGCAAGAGCCTGGTGAGATCATGGTTCTTAAACTCCAGAGTGCCAAGCAATCACTGGGAATGATGTAACTAATGGCGCCTGGGGTCTCTCTCTAGAGATTCTGGTACAATAAATCAAGGGTAAGAGCCAGGAATGCAAATATCCTCGTGTCTGATTCAAATGTTCTGTACAGAATTTCTTGTTTAATCTTACCCGAATTTGTTTTTCTGACTCCTGAAATCCATTCTTCAAACTTGTATTTAAGCCTTCTCTAGAGTTTAGACACTGTGCCAGGTTTAGATCAACTCATAAAATCAGCTTGGCATATATCCATTTTATGCAAATGCTTGAGAGAATAGGAAAATAATGCCTAAAATGAAATATGAAACAGAATTCAAAATTTACATGAATTTTCAAAATAAATCAGACTTCAAAGAAATTTGCCCATTAAATCTATTTGCTATAACCCTAGGAGTCTGCAGTTGCCTTTCTTTCAGTGTAATGGGGCAACTAGAAATAGAATACCTTAATTAGGGTGACTAACACTATGATACCTGAAGATGCTGATAGAAATAGCTTTTTTTTCTTTTAAAGATGAATGATTGAGTCATCATTTAAGTATTCTTTTTCTTATTTAGAAAAGCATTTCTATATTACAGATGAACTGTCTCAAGGTGTTGAGCCTGAGCCATCTCAGGTGCCAAATTGCAGTTCTAGAGACCATCAGCAAGGTAAGCCCCCTCTTCTTACCACTGTAAATGCTGAAACACCCTCAAATGCTGGTCCATATGCCATTGAGATAAGAACAACAGCTGATGATTCCATATCTAAAGTCCTAGACTGGTTTAACCGAAGTTCTCTTGATGGCAGTAAGTCATCCCTCCCACACTCCCAAGGGAAAGAGCCCAAGCTAAAAACAGACTCAGAATCGCAAGTTGCTGTTTCCTTGATGGCAGATGATACTGGTATAAATGAAAACGACTCTGAGGCCCTGTCATCCACTGAAATTGGCTTGAAACCTATGAAATCAGATTCAGCATTCCAGACAGAGGGAGATACACCACTTTCGGGAAATTGCCATGATATTTATGTAAATATCAAATCCAAATCTATGAATTTCCCTCAACAAGGCACCCCAGAGGAAACCTTGGGGATTTTGCAACCATCTGAAATCTCTGACATCTCAAATCAAGAGTGTAAAAATATGGACTGCAGTCAAAATTCAGGAAGTGTGGAAGATGACAATGGGGCATTTCCCCCAACCTGTAATTCATTCAGTGTTTATAAGGAATCCAGTACAGAAGCCCAAATTCCACCCAACGATAAGAATGTTGGCAGCATGGCAGAACACCCCAAGCATTTTGTTCATGAACAAAATAGACAAAATGAAGAAATGAATTTTGACTCTCCAATAGTCCTCAAAGAGCCAACATTAAAGGATGGCATAAAAGCTGAGAGAGAGAACAAAAAAGAAAGTAGCACTTTGACCCTGAAAACTTCATTAGAGCCAGGAAATACTGAGTTGCTACCTGAGGCTGCTAATGATGAATTATCTTGGAAGAAGCCTGAAGTCCAGCCCCCAAAAGAAGCTGGTGATGGTCCCCAGAACCAGGTGATAAGAGAGAGATATGGAAAAGTAAGTGAAAGAATATCCTTTTGGGAAGGAGAGAAAGCTGCTGCCAAGTTAACTCATAAAGAACCAGCATCCTCATTTATCCAGGAACAACCCTCTACTAAAGCAGCCCAGGCTGTGAAGCCACATGGTGTGTTTATGGACAGTTTACCTATAAGTCAAAGTGAAAATGATAAATTCACTGCCAGAAAAGTGATCTTAGATGAGGATGAAGAATTCAACTTCCCTAGTTTTCATCCCTCAAATAAACCTAAGGATACTAGGTCCCAGCAATTGAACTTGTTCAAAAACCATCCTTCAGTTGAGCACTCAGATAAAATGTCTCTGTTTCAGAATAAGATAAATGAGCCTATACAAGGATTGCCCCTGGAAGAAAGTTTGCACTCTGGAAGATCCATTACTTCAGCACTGCAACATCCCTCAAATGATGGAAATGAAATACATACTTCTTTGGAGAAGGACAGATCTCTAACTGCTGAATCAAATACTAACTTTAAGGTTATATCCCCAAAAGAAAGAACAGATGAATTCAATACAGAACAGGTGTATAATCACTCTCAGTTTGAGAAGTTGAAAAAGTTTTGGGACTCAGGAGCTATTCCAACCAATAAGGAAAATGGTGAGAATAATACAATCACAATAAACCAAAAAATGTATCTGCCTTTTGAGAGCCAGCAACACAAGGAATCCAATGATATTAAGTCATCAGAGGAGAATAAACATGAAGCAGAGGCAATTTTGAGTCCCAAAAACATTACAGCAAGAGAGGAAATGGAGAAAATAAATTTAAAGTACAGACACCAGGTGCTACCAGATGAAACCAAATTTCCACTGGGACAACACAGAGAGCCCACTCTTCAGTTGCCAGAAATTGAATCATCCAAGGAAAATGTGGAAATGAATAGGGAAGGATACGCTACTTCTGTGTTGAAGAAAGAAAAAAATTACCCAGATGAAGAGAGTCACGAATCCACAGTGAAAACAAGTGTTTTCCCGAAAAGGTATGAAGATTCTTGCAATGACACTTTACAAAGGCTGCTTTCTGACGTGTCATCACCAGCCATCCGGCCTCCTGGTGAAGAGGCTTGCAGAAAACAAGTGCCTGAAGCAGGTATTTGTCTGAACAGGACGTGGCCTCAGAAGACAGATTTTGCTGATACTGAGAAAGAAGGCAAAGAACCTAAGGTGACTGATGAACACATAGACAAAACAGTAGCTCCCATGAAGTTCAGGCAGAACACTTTGACTTCCAGACTGGATAAACTTCTTCAGGAAGCAGCGAGAACCACACTTTCTCCCTTGGAAACCAACTTGGAACCAGTTACCACTTGTATAAACTCTGAGCCTGGTGAGGGCAGGTCTGTTGAAAAGAGTATAGAACAGAGTCCCAATGTTTCACCCCATCAGAGAGAAATAAGATCTCCTCTTCCCGAGGAGAATGAAACATCAGAAAACACAGCTTTCATCCTGAAAACTGAAAGTGGTGAGTGCCCACTCAACCAAGAGACCTTGCATCAGACAGCTGCAGAAGTTTCTCACCCATTGAATCAACTTTCTGATCTTCACAGGATGGGTTCTTTTAGGGATGTGGACAACTCTTCCCAAGAAATACCTTCCTCTAGGGTTGCTTATCTTGCTCCACAAAATACAGCACTACCTTGTCAAAGGGAAGTTTCAGAAACTGTAGAGAAAGTCATTCTTCCACCCAAACCTGCACCAAATAATGTGAATGCTCTATTAGAGAGACTACTTAGAGAATCTTGCCTGAGTTATCCAGCTGAAAAGGAAGATGATCCTGGAATAGTGAAAGCAGAATATTTTGCAGGGGTGCAGGCACCAGGTTTACCCCCAAATTCTCAGGAAATAGTCCCATGGTGTGCTACAATGGATACCACAGTTCCTGAGAAAGAGGCTTTTTATTTCTTAACTGAAATTCCTGACAAAACTCAGGGAGTCAGATCTCATTTACCCACTCAAATGCAACTGTTAGAACAGACCCTGAGTTCGTATGGTTCCACTGATACTCACCATACCAAAGAGCTGCCACAGGAAGTGGCAGAAATTGTGAGGGAAACAATTATTCAGCCCAGATCAGAATTCCCAGAATTCAATATTGGCTTGGAAAAACTTCTGCAGGAAACAATTAATAATATCCCTTCAAATTTTCAAAATGATACAGAGACTTTTTTCTCATCAGAATTTACAAATAGTACTGAGGCAACCAAGCCACCTACTCCTGAATTGCATCTGGAGGAAATAAAAGAAACAGTAGAAAAGGATGAGGCTCCCACAGTAGTGGAGAGTGCTTTTGATGCTGGTTTTGAGAAACTTCTTGCAGAAATACCTGAAATCCCTTCTGACCATCTCCAGGTGTCAGGGATGGAGGATGCTCCTAATAAGGAGCTCTCCCAGTCAGAACAGGTCAGGTCTTTGAGGACAGATCCACATTTACATCAAGCAGCAACCGAGGCCTCAGGAATGAAGACTAACAGTGATGATTTGGAATCTCAAGTCAACCAAGGTGGTAAAGAACTGGGAGGAGAGGAAGCTGTGACTGATTTATTGATAGATCTTTGTGACTCTGAAAGTGGGGGTGAGATCCCCAGAATCCCACAGCTTTATTTGGACCATGAAATAGGGACCCTTACACCTATCAAACCCCCAAAAGACAGAGACTGTAAAAGTGAGGTTCCAGGGGCTAGTCAGAAACCTGGCTTTGAGGAAGACCTTGAAACAATTAGGCAACCCGTCCTCCTGACAATGAAAGAGAACCCTACAAAAATGAGTAGAGTTGAGTTGATTCTGGCATCCGCTGATGAGAGACAAGAGGAAGAAAAAGAAGGCTTCTCTGACTCAGATTTCTCAGATGCAAACACTGGTTCTAGTGCTGAAAGCTGTAGAAATACCTCCAGTGAGCCTTGTGATGTTTTTATTCCACAATAAGTATGCTCTATGGAATGCTGATGTAAAGGATACTTTTCTGAATTGGGATCAATCTGATAATCCAAAATGTTGCTAAGCTCTTTTTATCACTTCGGTTCTCCCCCAGCCTTTCTTGACAATAACAAAATTTCATTTGTACTCTCTAGTCAACTAAATTATAGCTTTATTGCAAGGTTGTGTTTCCATGTCTGATGTTATTGTTCATTAATCTGCCTATAGAATGTTTAGATTTCAAAAGTGTTTTAAATAAAATTTTAGATTTGCAAATCACATTTAAAATATTTAAGTCAGTTTCTTAATTCTTATGAGAATACTCATAAGCTTTATAGTAAGATTGATGGCAATAAAAAAAAAATGATATAGATGGGCATCAGGTTCCCATTTAGAAGCAGTGTTTTGCTGCACTTGTGTCTAAATGTGGGATACAGAGTGTAAGTTTAGAACTTTTGCTTCTAAACTTAGAGGTTGTGCAGTTGTTTTCACTGCTTCTCAATCCCCCTTATTTTCAGTTATCTGTAGAACCTTTTCATTCTAGAATATGACTCTAGTCTGGTAACTTCACTTGATTCCATCTAAAGAAATTGCCTGGCCTGCTGTATTTCTTTCTTTTTTTTTTTTTTGCAATGTATTGATTTATATTTGATAGTCAGATTCACAGAGAGAAGAGAGAGAAAGATCCTCCATTTACTGGTTCAGTCTCCAGATGGTCACAATTGCCACAGTTGAGCTGATCTGAAACCAGGAGACAAAAGCCTCCTCTGAGTCCCCTGCTTGGATGCAGGGTTCCAATGACCAGTGCCATCCTCAACTGCTTTCCCAGGCCAGAAGCAGGGAACTGGATCAAAAGTGGAAGAGCCAGAACACAAATCTGTGTGTGTATGGAGTGCCAGTGCTTGAAGATGGAGGATTGGTGTGTAGAGCCACAATGCCAGCCCCATAGCCTCTTACATTTCTTTGGCTTCAGCTTTGCCTAAGTTGATGAAAATCTTCATCAATCACAATGTTTGGATTTTCAGCCCAGTTATAAAACACAGGATCAGTCTCATTTTGTTGGGCATTTTAGCAGAGAAATTCCAGAGCAAATAGGAATGAAATGTTACCTGGTTCAAAGGATGAAAAGATACTCTCCGAGACATCTTAACCGAAGTTGCAAAACAGTGACCAACTTTCTTGCAGTTTTGTTTGTTCAAAAGACAAAGTGACAGCGAGAGGGAGAGAAGAAAAACTTCCCATTTCCTAGTTCACACCCAGATAGCCACAGTGGTTAGGGACGATCCAGGCCAGGGCCAGGAAATCCCTCTGGATCTCACACATGACTGGTGGCAGTCCAAGTACTGAAGTCATCTTCAGCTGCTTTTCCAGGTGCATTAGCAGGGAGCTGAATTGGAAGCAGAGCCACTGAGACTTAAACCAGTGCTCATATGAGATGCCAAAATTGCAGGTTTGCCTTAACTCACTGTACCACAATTCTGGCCTCTTCATTTTAGCTTAGTGTATTACAATCTCCCTGAGAATGTGAGTAGGTAACTGTTGTAGAATGACTGATTTGTGAGGTTTGGGTTCCTATGTAAGTAGCTGATAAAATCTCTTAAAATATGTTTTTTAAAAGTCGTATGTTTAAAGATATATTTATTTTTATTGGAAAACCAGATATACAGAGAGGAGGAGAGACAGAAAGGAATATCTTCCGTCCAATGAGACTCCGCAAGTGGCTGCAATGGCTGGAGCTGAACCAGTCTAAAGCCAGGAGCCTGGAGCTTCTTCTGGGTCTCCCACGCAAGTGCAGGGTCCCAAGGCTTTGGACCATCCTCGACTGCTTTCCCAAGCCACAGTCAGGGAGCTGGAGGGAAGCAGGGCTGCTGAGATTAGAACCGGCGCCCATATGGAATCCTGGCGTCTTCAAGGCGAGAACTGAGAGAGAGAGAGAGAGAGAGAGAGAGAGAGAGAGGAGAAGAAAAAGAAAAACAACCAGATACCTTCTCTAGTTTACTCTCCAAATACTTGCAACAGCAACAGCCAAGACTGAGCTAGACCAAACCCTGGAGTCAAGAACTGACTCTAGGCATTTGGGAGACTGAGTGTGGCCTCTTGCCATATCTCCCCCACACTCTAGATACAGAAGGGAAAGAAAGAGAATGCGGAAATAATGGTCTCACCCACTTTCCTGTAGCCTTTGACCCTTATCACTCTAATCCACACTGTAAAAATTGTCAAATAAAAGTAACTTTTGCAAAAAAAATTTTTATTTTTTTATTTTTTTAAATCTTTTTTTTTAATCTTTTTTTTATTGTTATTAACATTGTATATGTGATACAGTTTTATAGGCACTGGGGATTCCCCCCACCCCTCCCACACCCCTCCACTCCAGGTCTCTTAAATGAGAAGGACATATGCACTTAAGTTATCACTTGCCGTTTTCTAGCATTTACATTAACACAAAGCTGGAATTATGGGCAGAGCCAGGACTTGAATGGAGGCACTTTGGCATGAGATACAGGCATCTCAAATGGCATCTTAACCACTGTGCCAAATGTCCGCCCTGTAGATTCTTAAACACTGACCAAGGATTTAATACTAACTTGTCAATTTAAAGCCCCTTTATCAAATGTACTATAAAAGAAAAGTGAAATATCAGTATGTGAATTTAAATATGTGAGAATAAAGCCAGCATGTTAAACTTGTTAAAGTAAGCTCTGACTGAATTACCCCAGGGGTTAGTAGAATAGTATGAGGACAGCAGTGTGCAAATTTTCACTAGGTTTAGAGATCATCTAGTGTATATACAGCCATGTGTTCAGTAAGCCAGCAGACCTGTTTTAACAGCAAAATGTCCATGTATAAAAGAAATAACATTAAATAATCACCTAGACAGTACTTGGAAAATTTTAAATTATAGGCCAAATAAAAGGTATAAAGTGCTACTGTTATGGTTTTGTATTCTCTGACCTAAAAGTATTTTAAAACAAACTGATGGAGATAAAGTAAGGGTTAGAGAGGAACTCAGCTAAAGAGGTGGTATAGTTTTGGTGAACAATTTAACATATTCGACTTGTGACTAACCTTTTACCCAATGTTTCAACATGTTTTTTTTTGGCAAGTAAAAATTCCATGGTGGGTCCAGCATGATAGCCTAGATGCTAAAGTCCTCACGTTGAATGCACCAGGATCCCATATGGGCACCGTTATCCCAGCAGCCCTGCTTCCCTCCAGCTCCCTGATTGTGGCCTGGGAAAGCAGTCGAGGATGATCCAAAGCCTTGGGACCCTGTACCTGTGAGGGAGAGCCAGAAGAGGCTCTGGACTAATGGCTTTAGATTGGCTCAGCTCTGGCCGTCGCGGCTGCTTGGGGAATGAATCATTGGATGGAAGATCTCCCTCTCTGTCTCTCCTTCTCTCTGTATATCTGGTTTTCCAATAAGTATAAATAAATCCTTTTTAAAAATTCCATGATAAAATATTTTGGAAAAACTGATATGCCTATGCCTATGATTAGTATGCTAAAATCTCTGAGAAAGATTCTAGTAATAAATCTTTTAAATTTGAACAAAGAAAAACCAAAATCTAATTTGTTTTGGAATCCATTTTCTGTAGAATGCATATTAGCATTAGGGAGTACTGGAATGAACTTAAGGAAATTATCTAGGTAAGATGTTCTTAAATTCAAATCCAATTATTGGTTATTTTTATATATTAAATATTTATTATATATTAAATATTTTTGAAGTGTCTATTACCAGTCACTGTTCTAGGCTCTGAGAATCCACTAGCAATAAATGGCATTATACAGGCCAGGTCTTATCCTTGATCATATTTTCACTGTCAAGCTGGAAAGATTAAGAATTGTTTTGAGAATTTCATTGTAAAATTAGATATATTTAATGTAAGGATAGTCTTCTTATAAGATTATGTACCCCTTTTTATTTCTTTGTCTTGGTTCCAAAATGCCTCTATTTTTATAGAATAAAACCATTGTTAGAGGATAGAGGTTCTTTATTTTAAAATGCCTTCATTGAGGTGGGTGTTGGAGTGTAGGAAGTTAATATGCCACTTGGGTTGGCTGCATCTCATTTGGGAGTACCTGGTCCAATTTTCAGCTACTCTGTTTCCCATCCAGCTTCCTGCAAAATGCACTTGTAAGGCAGCAGCTCATGGCTCAAGTTCTTGAGTCTCTGTCCTCTACTTGGGACATCTGAATGTAATGCTTGACTCTTGGCTTTGGCCTGGCCCAGCACTGGGCATTTAGAGAATGAGCCAGTAGATCTAAGGCTTCTCTCTCTCTCAAGTTGACTATTCCATGTTATTTCATTGAAGTGTATTTGACAATCATTCATCTGGAGAGCTCACACATCTGAGCACCCAAATATACAGGAATGTGAAGCTTCTGAATTCTACTTATTCTGTTAATATTCCTAAAATCATTCCATGATTGTTGTCAAAAGCTGGAATGTGAAGCAGCAAGATCTAAAATCTAGCACAGAATAAATCACATACCCCAAAACAAAGATGCAAACAACTAAGAATCATATTTCTATTACTGTGGTAATCTTTTTATGTGCTTTGTGTTTGCAAATATTCCTTCACTAGGTCATTTTTTAAAGGCTTTTATTTTTTAACGCAGAGTTAGAGAGAGGGAGAGACAGACAAACATCTTCCACCACAGGTACCCTCCCCAAATAGCCTCAGTAACTAGGGCTAGTCCAGGCAGAAGGCAGAACTCCATCTGGGTCTTTCCTGGGTATGGCAGGCCTCCTAGCACTCAGGTCATCTTCTGATAATTCCCCAAATGCATTAACAGAAAGCTGTATCAGAAAAGGAGCAGCTAGCATTCAAACTGATAATAATATGGGATGCCAGTGTTGCATGTAGCAACTTAAACTGCAGTGCTAAAATACTGACCCCAGGAAAAAGTTCCTTTAAAGACAAATTATTAGTAGAAATTTTATATCCTTCAGAGAAGTAGAGCCTCTCAAAGTAAACAAAACTAATGAGGCATTTTCTTTTCACTTTGAGTGTCCATTGGTTTTACAGATTCTCTGTTTTTTTTGGCTCTTTTTTTTTTTTTTTTTGTATAGTGCAGTGTTCATCAATTTTGTCTTGTAACAGGTTCAGAAGAAGAACCCAGTCCTGTTTTGAAAACTTTGGAAAGGAGTGCTGCTAGGAAAATGCCTTCCAAAAATCTAGAAGACATTTCATCAGACTTATCAAGTGAGAATCCAGTCTGCTGTATAGTTCATGCCCCATCTAAGCTTACAAATGCCTTTGTGCTCGTTTGTGGCCTCACTGCATGCTACTGTGCACTGAACCCACTATGCAGAGGGGGTTAATGATGAGAATAACCTTTCCTGTGTGTGCCAAAGCGGCTTACTCTAAAATGGCTAGAATTTTGCTTTTTAAAATAATGTGTGAGATTTCCTACTTGGGACACTAGGTTTCCTTGACTTACAAAATCCCAATTGAGTTTTATTCAAGTACATTGAGTTATAAAGGATTGTAGTAGACAGTAAGTACTGGAATATTATGTACAAAAACTTGGCTGTAGATCCTGTATTATCTCATTTAACTGGCACAGGCAATTCTATTTTTTTTATATTTGTTGTTGTTATTTTACAATGAGATCCCATAGGCTCTGGGACTTCCCTTCCCCCTTCTTTTAATCCCTTGCCTTTCACTGATTTCCTTTATATTATTGCAGTAATATAGTCCTTCATAAATAGTCACATGTCCTTCATTCTGCTATTTAAGTGTAGCTTTATATTTTAGGTATGGACAATGTCAGAAAGTCCAGCATCCTATTGTTAAGACATATTTAACAATTTCTTTGAGAGTTCATCTTTGATTTGGAAGTAAAGGTGCATCCTGCCTTGCATCTTCACAACTGGTTATGATACTTTCTACTACGTAGTTATTATACATTTCCTTAAATGAAAAGCCATAAACCAAAATCAACAACAGGAAGAAAATTTAAAACAACATGAAGTTAAATAACACAGCATAGGCAATTCTGAGATAAATTGCTGTCCCCATTTTACACATGAGGAAAATGAGACTCAGGTGAAATAACCTGCTTAGTGTCACACAGCAGACCTGGGACTGAAGATGAACAAGATACTGTCCAAAGCATTTCTGAAGTGGCCATGTGACATAATGACTGTGTTGGATATCTGGTGAAGCTTACATGATGTGGAATTGATTTAGTCCCTGGGTTTGAGAATCCTCCTTTCTTTTTACCCTTGCTCTTCTGCCCACACATTTCATTAGGGTACTGACAATTTAAGCCTCACTTCTTTATAAAATGGAATACTTATTTCTCGTTGTTTGCTGTTTTAAATGATAAAGGATTTCTTCAGGACTAACAGAAAGCATAATGTGTATACAGATGTATATCCAGAAGCATAGACTTAGCCATGAATTGTAAGGTTTTTAATTCTAATTTTAAGCCAATAAGTTCCCTTTGGTGGCAGTTGATCATGAGAAAAATTATTCAGAGGAAGTTAGCCACTGCCAAACTCTTCTATTAAGTGACCATTATTATGTTTAGAACGTTTTTGTGCATCTGCAACTGAGGTTAAAGTCAGGATTTTAAAAGAAAAAAAAAAGTCACTCCACCAAACTATTCCTGAAATTCCTAAAATTCAGAGATTCCCTGGATTCTGAAGAAAACATTCCCAATTTAGAATGCTGTCCTAACCCTCTCAAGGTTCTTGGAATCTCAGGGTTGAAAGGGACCTTTAAGATGACCCATTCCAAACTCGCCCCCACCACTACCACCACCCAGGCTGGAATTTCCTCTAAAGCCGCCTTAACAGGTGGCCAACCCCCACATCTGCCTGCATGCTTCCAGAGAAGGCAAGCCCTATCCTTTGTTAGATAGCCCTGATTGTTCTTCCTGGTGTTGGTGAAAGGTTCTGAGCGAAAAAAGAACCTCAGCAACAATTGTCCAATTTAGTAAAGCTCTTGTTTGTGAAGCATGGACTATTTCCATGGTGCATCTTTAAAATACTAAGGAATGTGTAGGGTTAAAAGAAAAGCGCCATCAGCTGGCGGGTGTTCCTGCACGCTCCCTTCCAAATACCGATGCCCACTCTCACTCTAGCCTGCCAAGATTCCACTTAGCAGCTGGTCCCCAGTTACATCTCTTCAGTTGACTTCCCAAGCAAACCAGTCTCCCAGAGGCATATGCAAAGAGTGATGCACACACACAAATATTTGTTAATGACCATAGGTTGGGGAAGGTGTTAGTCATGGCTAGCATCCTACTCTTGCTAGAAGAATAGAGAGGCTGTTGCAGCCCTGTGCTTTTCTCCTGCTGCTGGCAGATTGCTTGCTCTGAGCTAACCCTCTAACCCTTGGGAGTCAGTGTGCAGCAGTGTGCTGATGTGAGCTGCATCAGGGCTGAAATGGGAGCTCCTGCTATGGCACTGGCTCAAATAGCCAATCTAAAGAGAAAGTATTTGGGGGAAGACATCTTGGTTGCACCCCTCACTGCATCTTGACTAATTGCTTCCACTCCGGGAGCTTCCAGGGACAATCTCCTTGTTCTTTGCTCTCCAAGGGTCAGCCGTGTTAACCCTTTGTTAATTTCTCCTGAACAGATCAAGCAAAAGTAGATAATCTGCCAGAAGAATTAGTACGTAGTGCTGACGATGGTAAATATCTTTCTGTGTTTGCATGCCTGTCTGTGCTTTAAGTTGTGTGGTGATTTGGGTAGTCAGGGGATACAGCTGTCAGATAAATGCAAGAATGTAGGAGCCACTATGTGGCAAATGTTGCCTAAGTTGTTATAAAACTGTTCTGATTTGATGCTTTTAATACTGTTGGCTTGTTAAGGTTTCAGCTGATGATTGTGAGAATCTTATCAGAAAACGCTGTGAAGCAGGAATTTCTATAAATAGGAAATTGTATCTATGGATATGAGCTGATTTTTACTACTCTGAGGTACAGAACTGCAGGCAGGAATAGAACAGTGGGTTGAGTTATTCCTGTGTTTGATTCTCAAATCTCAGTGTTTAGATTTCTCTAGGTACAATTACTGAAGCCTTCAGTTCAAGGGGAAAGATCCCAGAACAAGGCTGGGAATCCTTTCCTGCTTAGATAAATAACTGCATGTGGACTGAAGGCGAAGTTAGTTGACTGCGAATACTAAGATGCCAGAAAATCTTGAAACTTGTTAGTGAAGCAGGTATTATTTGATTCAGTGATAAAACTAACAGGAGGGATGGAAATGACTGATTTTTAAACTTCAGATTTTATGCAAATGTATAATTTATATTTATATGCTGGATTTTTATGCTAAATTGTCTTTTCTACAGTCACAAAAATGTGTACTTCTTGAGGTTTCTCATATAAAACTCAGCAACAGGACTCCTCATAAGTCATTCCTTATTTTCTTATATGATAATTTTATGTATTTCATGTTATATTTATAATCATGTTGAAGTTGGTGAGGTAAGAACTTTTATTTTTCAGATAAGACCAGCTCAGAGAAATCAGGTGACTTCTGAGATCATATGGCCAATCAGTGTGAAGATGGGGAGTAGATTCTTAGCTCATCACTCCTATTTTTAGTGCGGTGATCTAGAGAATTAAAGGGAAAAATGCTTCACATTTCTTATATTGGATCTTAGATTTCTAGTTGGAAAGGAGACTGTAAAAAGGCTAAGAGTCATACTGTAGAATGGATAAAAGCATACTGAAAACTTGTCAGATGTATTCTGCAATTTTGATTGTGAAAGTGATCTTTGAGCTTGACTTTCATGTGTTTTTAATCCTTCTGTTAAAATGGTATTTATTCTTCATGTTGCCCTTCTGAGTAGATCAAAAAGCAGATCAGGAACCAGATACAAATGAATGCGTACCAGGAAGTGAGTAGCAGGATCTTTGTCACAATTGACTTAATAATCTACTATACACAGTATTAAATATGCTGAAATAACTAATCCCACTAATGACACATGTATTATTTGTGCTGAACTCTTGCAATTTTTAAAACTATTTCATTTTTATTATTTATCTATTCACTACTATCTACTGAAGGAATAATTCATGAATCCCCTAAGGGGGGATATGTATGTGTGTGTTATTTCTTAGTATTGCACTTCTGTAGGTCTCTGCTGTTGGAGTTTTTGTACAAAATCAAGTTGGCTCCTTATATTTCACTGTAGTCTTGATTACTGGCTGTCTTGTGACCTCTATATAAAACTACAGAGATGAAGAACTGTACTTTGACAGCTGATGTGTCATATGTATGTTTGTGTATACCTCTGTAAGAATCAAGAAAATTTTCTTTTGTCCTGAATTAAACTCTAAGGTTTAAAGCTGATTTTAAACAGTAAATATTTAATGTAAGAAAGCAAGTGGACTTTGGAAACTAAGAAAGAAATATATTCTTCAATTAATCAATTCCACACTAGGCAAAGATAATAATTCTTAATTCTTTGCTGTTTAACCTTAACTGCTGAGCTGTGATTACTATCATGACAAATAATGTGTTAAAAAGGTGCTGTGGGGCCTAGCAAAAATGTTCACATGTGCATATGTGATTTTAGTCTCCCAATTTGCTAGTTTCATAAACTTAGTCCCAGACATATGAAGAAATGTTACACATGTCTGTCCTCAGACCTACAGAATTTTAGTAATCCTTTCCCAGCGGCCTTTGCCTGTGTTAATAGCCATTTATTGAAAGTAGCAGCTAAAGGAAGGAGCCATTAGGGACATAATGTGCTGATGTGAGAAGTCAGTGACATCTAGTGTGAAATCTGAAACTTTGCTCATGAGGTCCTTCTGCCAGTGGTAAAGATGCTGAGCTTTGGCACATGACTCGTTGAATTCTTAAGAACTGCCTAGGAAAGAGGACAATCCAGGCTCCGGCCCCCGTGAGTATGTGCTTTCTGTCTGACTGCTGCAAAGGAAAGAGAACTGTGACATTAAAGGATGTTGGATAAAGAAGCTTTTCCAATTGCTTTGGAACCAGTATATATTTAAATCTGGGCACCTTATTCTGCCTTGCTATGTTTTCTTCAACATTTAGCCTGAGAAATGAGAGTGAAATTAATGTAGAGCTTCAAAAAGTCTGTGGAAAAATGAGCTTATAAAAGGATGCGTTATTCATGAACTTTCTGAATTCCTGTCATACATAAGCATATGCTTTTATATATGTTTCTTTACTGATATTCTCAACGGCCTAATAGGTCAAGACAAATCTATTATGTGCTATATTCTGAGTGATTTATTTTTGAAATGCTGTTTTCTGTAATAACTTATAGTGCTTTTTCTTGGAGAGTAAGAAAAAGAATGTGTGTATGTGTATATGTCTCTGTGTATGTATTTGCCCCAAGATAAAAACAAATATATAATCAAAATATAAATGATCGTAAGCCCATAAATGTTAAAACTGACTGGACTGGAGTAATAGATACAATCAAATTTGACTTGCACAGGATCATTTAAAGATATACTTTGCAAATAATAGAATACAGTGGAACAACAAAAGCTTCTTTCCTTCTTATTGAACCATACTGTAGAAACTAATCTTTCACTGCTACCAATAGAACACATCCCTGTATACACTTACATACACACAGGGAAAGAAACATTTAAGTGATGTTTACAGTAGATATCATCTTAATTGAGACACCATCAGTGTATTTTGTTATAAATTTACCTTTGGTGAGGCCGACGCTGGATGAGAACTGCTGTGTGACCAAGCTTGTATTTAGTATGTGTAGCTCAAATTTCAGTTTTTTTTATTAGATTTCTTTACTAATGTTGACAGTTGATTTTAAATCTTTTGAGTTACGTATAGAAATACAATTTGACTTTTCTGTGTTTTCCCCAATACCTCTTTTTGCTGGTAGAGGAAATTAAATATATTAACATTTACAACATAATTTAAGTACCTCTATGAGCTAATATTTATTCATTCAGAAAAAAATATATATGGAAGCTTTTTGTATCAGGCACTGCTCCAAGTGCCAAGGAAAAAATTAACTCATTCATCATAAGATCTTTGAGTCACCATAAGAAAAGCTTAAACATCATGATTCTTAGAAAATGCAGAGGATCATTTTCTAAGAGGAGGTATACAAATTAGGATTAGAATTCATCTTATTGTTCCTTCCACACATATACTTACTGTGATGGAAAGAAGACACAGGTTGTATATTCATGTTAACTTGAGCTGTTCAAAATTGGCCTTTTGATAGTGAAAGTTCTCTGAGTCAACAAGTTTATAAACTATTTTAAAAACAATTTTAATTATACTTTTATTATTCTAAGAAACATTATCAGAAAAATAATTCCCATATCACTAAACAAGAAAACTAGCCCTCAGACAGTTAATAGCCAGGATACTTTCCTTATAAAATTGTGTACCAAGACCCCTATTGTCCAGATGAAATAGTTTTTCTGCCTGCAGCATGTAATATAGATCTCACAAGGATATGAACCAATACATTATAGACCTTGTGGTTCAAAGCTCTGAGATGAAAAATTAAGTTAAAACCAATTCACATTGATAGTATATATAATTCAAATCCAACTCCAGTTCAGTAAAAACTTGTGTTTTAAAATTTTTTAATTTGTATTTGTTCCCCTCCTTGCTAGTTCTGTCTGTATGTAATATATTAAAAATTGCATGCTACTTACCTCATAATCCAGTGCATGTGAACTGTGCCTTTAACTTATTTATAAAAATATATCTGTTCCTAAATGTAAGAAAAGTGTGTTTTCAACCCATGCCTACTGTCGTCTAACAGTTGTTAAGAATAATTTTGAAATGAAAATGCTGTTTAGTTTCCACAGTGCCTTCACAGCCTGATAATCAGTTTTCCCAGCCTGACAAAGTCAAAAGGATGAGCAAGTCTGTTCCAGCATTTCTTCAAGATGAGGCAAGTTTGTCTTTTGTACCTGCAGAAGAAAGGAACTGGATAGGTGAATATGCCATGCTGGGGTTGGGCTGTTTGTGGCAGTGACCAAGAGGTCAGCACGAATGACCCTTGCCTTCCAAGCCAACAGAGGTAGTGTTGCTGATCCTGGAGCAAGACAAGGCACGTCTCATTTGACTTGAACAGTAACTCTTTTTAATCAGTGAAGTCAAACTGGATAGATTTGGGAAATGGACTTTTTGTTTTCAAGTAGGAATAAAATAAGAAATCCAGGCAGAAATATGTTGGCATGAGCTCTGTAATTTAGAGTTTTTAAGTCTAACTCTAGGTTGAGTGACTAGTTTTAAAGCTTTTGTAAAAAGTAGTGATGTAATTATACAACAGACTTTAAGGAGTTTCTACTGGGAGTCACAAACTTTACAAATATTACCTGAATTAATGATTTAGCAACCCCAGAAGGTAGACACCATCATTATTACCCAATATTACAGATAAAGAAATTAAGACTAAAGAAAGGGAAATAATCTCACTCAGAAAAGGATTGAACCAAAATTGGAGCCCAGATCTGATTTGCATGCTGTTACCACTATGCCATATTCTCTAAAATGATAACCTATTCCCTACTATTCCTTAAAAACCTAGTATGATGCCAGGCACTTAATGCTCATTCTGATATCCAACTCTTACAAGCTATAAATGGTACATACTCTTTTATAAATTGAAAGAAAAAAGAGAAGAACCTCAGAGAGGTTAAGTAAGTTTTCCAAAATCCAACAACTACTAAAATGTAAACCTAGGATGTTTGCTCAGAGCCTTTGACATCAGTGATTCCATGTTCTTGCAGGCAGATAGTTAGGAACTTGAGGTCTAAAGTTAGATGTTCCAGTCTTGGTTATGATACTAATTTGCTGTGAAATCATGAGCAAAATTTTTCAGCTTCCCTCTTTCCTGAGTTTTGTTCCTGCTACTACCACATTAAGTTTGTGAAAATCACTGGGATAATACAGGGAAAACACATAGCACAATACTTACAATCAGTATTGAGTAAATGTTAGCTGCTATTGTGGTTTTCATCTGATTCCTCACAGTGAAAAAGGCTTTATTCTCAAGCATTCTCCTCACACAAAGTGAGAAGAGCTCTGGGTAGCACATGAATTACACTCCCCTTCACTATCCTGGCAGGCCTCCTGTCCATCCCTGGCTCTAAACATAAACTGTACCTGTAAATATTCAGTCTTTGTATGTGTTTAAGAGCCCATGTTGTAGTTTCCTTTGGAAATAATCATTCACTCTTTGGAACTAATTCATTAACTGGAAGCCAGAAGTAGGCTCTCCATGGAGTTGCCATGGTTTTGTGTTTTTGTAAATTTGCTTTGATCTTAGAGAGTCATATAAATTAACCAACAATTTGAGAAGAAAATTGTATTAGTGTCTACTTCTTTATATTTCTGTTTCCTTCAGTTTTAACTATATCATAGTTCTACTTGGAAGAGTTCAGATCATTTGGATTTGTCTATCAGACATACAGGATTAAACTATATCATTCTGTATTTCAAAATCTGTGGGGTTGAACTGAATTATTAAAGTAGAGATGAGCTAAGGTCTTTATTTTTCACCGTCCTTTTTAAGGCTCACCATCAATCACATTTTTTGAGTACCACCTATGTGAAAAATACTGTTCTGAGTCAGTAAGGCCAAACCTCATTCTTCCTTAATTCACTAATCATCTCATGCATTACATAGAATGTAGTATGCACTCTGGTAGAGGGGAATGGACTCTTGAACATGTAGACAGAGCGATCATGACAACAGCGACATTTTACAAAGTATGGATTTAGAGTTAACCCTTAAGAAAATATTCTTTTCTTATCCATATGTTATTAATTTTGTTTTTCTTTAACTCCTTTTGTGAATCTGCATTGGCATCTATTATTCAATGCATAATTGCATGGTCCTGAAGTATGTTGGCATGAACTAACCATTCTTCCCTGAAGGTGTATTCTTAACCCCAGAAGCCACTGAATTGCTCCATAAACTCTCTAACCCCAAAAGGAGCTCATTCTGAATCATGGGTTTTTAAAGTTTTTATGCAGTAATCCTTCAAATTAAGTATTATAAAATATGTTAATGCCACTTTCTTGTCCCAGATCATTATTTCCTGGAGCATATTTAAAAGAAATATAATCTTCTTGCTATTAAAAAAAAACAGTCCCAAACTAATGTGGATAGAATGCATCATTTAACATATGTCCCCATAGCAACAAAAAGATGAACATAATAATTCTATATAAATACATAGGGAATGGATTAAATTGCATGTGTATGTATGTATATATATGCATATATATATAATTAGATATAGATCAATCTAACATTCCCTTTTTCTAGTTTAATAGAGTCTGAAGTATAATACTTAATTTTTAAGGATTTTAAGGCTATGTTAGCAATAATTGAACATGACACTTTATATTTTGACAGCAGATCTTAGACCTTATTGTCTGGATAAAGTTAATTTCTATATATCTTAAAATTCTCCAAGCAACACGAATTTATAATATTCCAAGAGTGATCAGAAAACTCCCAACAGTGCTTTTTTCTGCAGTGGTTGACGCTACCTTATAGGTGCAAAAGTCATCTTCTATTTCAGTTTATTTCAGTACTTGAGCACAGGCCTCCTCTTTTGGAGGGCCAGAACAGAGCACCTATCCCATCCTGAATCCCATTCCCTGGCAGTTAATAATAGCATCCTTGGACCTTGAGAAATATCGTTGATCTGTTGGATATGAAAATATCACCTATGTCTAAACAGAAATACTGACCTGATTCATTTTGAATTTAAATACTCTGCCTATTATATGATGTTTTGTAGAGTGATGACAGAGAAACAGATACAGCATCAGAAAGCAGTTACCAGCTCAGCAGACACAAGAAGAGCCCGAGCTCTTTAACCAATCTTAGCAGCTCCTCTGGCATGACGTCCTTGTCTTCTGTATGTAAACAAAGGCTCCATGTTAATATCTCTGCTTCTCTGAACCTTTCTTTGCCATGCTCCTGCTCACTGTAAAACAGCATCCTGTTGTCCTGTTGTATTTCTCAGACTCCAAAAGCACAAGCATTTTCTCTGATCAATAATTGGTTTCCAGCTGGCTATGTCTTCCTTTTAAAAATCCGCTATAAATAAATGTGTTTTTAAAAAATACAGATACTTCAAAAATAGCACTTGATTGTCAACAGTATTAATCACTACATTTTCCAGGTTGCAAATGGTATAGCAATTATAAATTCTGCTTTTACAAAATATGCTTTTATAGACTGTTTGCAGGCATAGTATAATGCCTCTCTTTTTGTAAGCTTTATGACTAAATGTAGTGATTCGCATAAAAAAAATGAGAAGTGATTCTTTGCCTTACATAACAACTAAGAACAAGGTTTTAAAGGAAAAGTTCCCCAAATTTAATTGCTCAGATTTGGGAGAATTTGCTTTTATATAGAATTTCTTATACTAAGTGATATGGTTTGTGCATATACTGTGTATATAGAAATATATATGTGAATATACTCACCTATATTTGCCAAATATTTTTCTGGTGTGCACATACATATTTCTGACTAGGTCTGCTAAATAAATGATAAATCTGTGCTTAAATACTTACTATCCCTGCACTTCTGAAACCTTTTTTTTAAAAAAATCTGTTTAGATTGAGTTTCTGCTGATAACTTAATGGATGCTCTTGGGAAGGCTTTCTACTCCCTTCATCAATCATCCATTTTCTAGCCTTCCTGACCTCTAAAAGCCCATGGCTCAATAAGCATTTTCCTAGATTCAGTGGGTGGGTAACATGGTAAAATTCCTTTTCAGTGCCTTGGAAATTTGAGCAATGTGTCACTCTGATTTGTGTGCCTGGAGTTTCTCATATCCTCTTTCTTTGGCACTTTAAATACTAAGCATGCTTAAAAATGGAACTTTGAATACCAATAGCATAAAATCACCCTGTTTTGAAATGAACCAATACGTAGATAACCTTGTGTTTCACTCTTCATCCACATCTTTAAGGGGCCATTGTTTTGGATGACAGTAATCATTTATATTGCATCAAGGTGTTTGTGTTGATATGTCTTTTTGACATATTAAATTAACTGCATTCACACATAAACTAGACAAATAACACCAAGCAAGGGTTGTGTCCATGATCCTTGTGATGGATTTGAAAGGGAAATAGACACAAACAATGTGTTTCTGATACTTTCAGGTGAGTGGCAGTGTCATGAGTGTTTATAGTGGAGACTTTGGCAATCTGGAAGTTAAAGGAAAAATCCAGTTTGCAGTGGACTATGTGGAGTCACTGAAGGAGTTGCATGTTTTTGTGGCCCAGTGTAAGGATTTAGCAGCAGCGGATGTTAAAAGACAGCGTTCTGACCCGTAAGTACATTTTGCAGTCAACTACTTTCTTTTAGCTCTCACATTGCTAATCTTGTAGGAATGGAGAAAGAAAGAAAATACTTAAGGGAAGGCATATATGTGACTGTGTTAAAAGGAATGTTGGAAAAGTTGGAGAGAAAGGATGAGTTATTTATAAATTCATTGACAAACTCACTAAATTATAAAAATCATGGCAAGGCATAAAATGTTTCAAGTAGGAAGAAGCCTTTAAGGTCATTTTCCTGAGTTCCTTCATTTTCAGATTAAGAAGGAAAGGATACAGATGGTAACTAATCCATGTATTTAAATGCAGGCAGCAGTCAAATGAGGAATGAAGGCTTGTACTCTGGTCGCTTTTTATCACTCTCTCAAACTTTTTCTGCAGGAACATGTGAGCCAGATTTTTTAAATTTCAAAATTTCTATTATGTCCTAGAGAAAAACTCAAGAGTATTATTGACTCATCTTTTAAATCACAAATTTGATACATTTCAGTTTGTTTACCAAAGATGGTATTTCCTATTTACCCCAAGTTAGAAGTCTGTTTCTTAATTAATGAAATCCAGTTCTTTTATTCTTATTGTGAAAACAACTGGGCTTGAAGTCCTTTTTTCCCCAATGAACATGGCTTAATTAGTTGTGTGATGGGATTATTTTGTCAAGAAACTTGAAAAATAGATGTTGCAAGTACCCAAGTCTGTTCTATCCTGATATCCCCAACATATTATGCAAGGTCTAAGGAAAAACAATAACTCAGGAAGTTTTCCTTAAAAATCTTTAAAACAACACAAATGTTCAAATGCGCTAAAATCTGTTTTTAAACATTTAAATATAAAGATGGTGATGGGAACATTTGTTCCTTACTGCTTTCCTCAAAGTCATGAAATTATTTCTGCTGTTGGTTTTCAATGCATTTTTTAAAGCAGAGGTGGAAACATCACTTTTATCTGAATTTCTTTTGTCGTCTCTTCTCTTCTCAGATACGTAAAGGCCTATTTGTTACCAGACAGAGGCAAAATGGGCAAGAAGAAAACACTCGTGGTGAAGAAAACACTGAATCCTGTGTATAATGAGATTTTGCGGGTATCTATGAGCTCTATATAAAGGAGAACCTCAATAAGTGACCTATATGTTTAAATAAGTGTGCCTTCTTGGGTGGTATATCTACTAATAAAATCAGTCATCAAAAAAGGAAGGAAAGATAGAGATAGAATTTTCCTAAGAATTTGCTTTGCATGTGATGATACAGCTTGTGTATCACCTACATTGTCTTGTTTGTTCCCTGTGTATACCCTATCAGTGGGTATCATTATATATCACAGCTGAGACAAATATATTAGAAAAATAAACTAACTTACTCAAGGATATGCAACTTATCAAATTAAACAATGCAAGCAGAATTATCTTGTAGCACAAATCTTATCACATCATTTCTCTGCTTAAAATCTTGCAGGATTCCCGTTGCCCTAAGGGACAAGCATTCTCCACCACCTAAGCTCCAGCCCCAACTTTCGCTTTCATAATCTCACTCCAGTTGTCTTATATTATGTGTGCTTCCTTGTATTACTGGGGTATTCTCTTTTTCAACTGGATTATCCTATCCTGCATGCCTCTCCTTTTATTAAATGCCTCATATGAGAGGTTGTCCTTAGGCCCTGGGATTCCCTGTTGCCTGCTTTCTGAATATCTTTGCTTTGTAATAGGCTTTATTAACATATAGCACTTTTAGCTAGTGATTTAATTGTCTGTCTTATTACTAAAATGATTTCAGTGAGGGCAGAAACCAACCCTAAGTTATTGATAAGTTATTGCCTTTGAGCAAATAACATGTGTGTACCTCAGAGGTACAAAATAGGGATAGTGGCAATATTAAGATCTGCACACGGGAGACATTAATAGGGTTTATCTACCGAACTCAGTAGTTATAAACATTGAAAAAATAAGTATGCATGAAATGCTGAACACACATTTACCATTTTGACTCAATAGAGTATGCAGACAGGTACTCAAAAGCATTTATTGGAAAAAATAGATGATCTGACTGATGAATGGAAAGTATACCTTGCTCATATATTTACCAGGCTTACTTAAGAGTGACAGGTCATTTAAAACTAAGGATATTAAAAATGCTCATTCTCTGAAAATTCTGTCCAAGTGCTTGATTCTTTGGGAAAAGAAGAAGCACTTAATCAACTCTCTGTCATCCATGGGTAAATTATCTAGCTTGTAGATTTTCTGTAGTAACTATTTCATTTGTGTTTGCCTATTCTATACTCCAGTCCCTAGCTATTTCTGGTTATTCAACTCTTCTCAGAAAAAAGCAAGCTAATTCAATAGAAAGGTAGTTATAACTAAAATAAACATTCAGTTTGTATATACTACAGCCAAACTGAGATTATTTTTAGACTAAAAGCATTGTTGTCTCTTCTAGAATTATATGTAATCAAGAATTGATTATATTTGAGATGAAAATCTTTCCTTCTTGGCCAGATGACACAGGAGAAACAAGTTTATCATTTTTCAAAACTTTTTGTAGCATGCTGATAATAGAGGAGGTGTACATGTGTGAGGGCCATGGTATATACTACTTATACTCACTTTTGTTGTGAAAACAAAACTACTCTTAAAAAATCAAGCCTATTTTAAAATACCTCATCCTCAGCTAGAAAATGAGAGTCGTATTACATTTTATTCATGTTTTTTTAGACTGAATTTTATATATGCTTTATCTAGTCTAAAAATAATGGCTTTTGTTTTTAGAAAGCTATTACCAGGTATGGTGTTTATGCTATGGTCTGTTTTTCCAGGGCTGGGGAGTGGCGGAGAAAACTAACTTTTGTGAAAGGTGGATTTTTAGCTCTGTGAAATAGACACTTAGAATAAAATGACTTTACAACATTTCTGAGAGTTGAGACCTAACAGGCAAGAAACTCTGATCTACCAGATAAGTTTTTGTCATCATCTCGGTGTCATAACTTTGGCATAAAGTAATGCTATTTATCATGTTAATATTCTTTTCTGAAATGCAGTATAAAATCGAGAAGCATGTTTTAAAGACCCAGAAGCTGAACCTGTCTGTTTGGCATCGAGATACTTTTAAGCGCAATAGTTTCCTAGGGGAGGTGGAACTTGATTTGGATACATGGGATTGGGACAACAAACAAAATAAGCAATTACAGTGGTATCCTCTGAAGCGGAAGGTAAGTTCAGAGTTTCTGCTTGGGTTAGTTGCTTGGCTTGGGGTCTGGTATGCAGGAAAATCTGTAACTACATTTGAGTCAAGAGTGCTGGTCAGTTTGGCATCATTTTCAATGAGAGTTGGCTTACACATACATTCAAGTGATTAAAGGAGATTTAAAGTGATTAAAAGTGATTTCGGAGATTTCAAAAAGTTCTTTTTAAAAAATTAAGTCTTTTGAAATTCAGGCCTACAATACTGTCAAATTTTGATAAATCTTCCATGTGTTACTTGAAAGTTCATTTTGTAATGTTTGGAGTAATGTCCTATGTGTACCAATTAGATCAAAAATGATTGCTCAAATCTTTCATAAGAATACTTCAAATTCATGGAAAATGAAATTGAAAGGCAGTATTGCTGCAAAAGTGGTTTTTGAGATGGATGCAGATAGGGGACTTCAACAAGCTTGTGGAAAATGGATATTATAAAAAAATAAGGCATGGATTTCAAAAGTTTTTGGACCAAATAAGCTTAAATTTAATTCCATTTTCTATGAATGTTTTGCGCTTTTTTTTATCCTTACTGATTTAATGTCTGTGCATACTATTAACTACTAAAAGATATCATTATAGATTTATCACTTTATTATAATCAAATTGTTTTGTTAAGGATATATACAGTTAGCATTGTTTTATTTTCTTGATGAATTGACCTTTTTATCATTTTGAAACATTCTTTTTTATGCTTTGTAATACTTCTTCCCTTAAAATTTTTGTCTATAATACTTTAAAAAGTTCATAAATAAAGACGTAAGATTTTTGACACAAAATTTAAAATTGATACTGCATTTTCCGTAAGTTTTTTGAATACTCCTCATATTAGTATAGCTCTGTTTGCTTCTTATAAGTAATAGCTTTTTTTTTCTTCTGTCTGAAGCTATCTCTGAGTTATCATTAAATAATCATTTCCTTCATTTTCACTTAATGTAATTGTTGACATATCTGTATTTGGGTCCAAGTACTATATCTTAATACTTGCCTCATTTTTCCTCTATAACTGCCTTATTTGAAATTAGCTGATTATTGTATTATTACTTTCTTTATGATATTATGTGAACAGTGTTTTATTTCTCATTTTGTCATTAATTTCTGACAGTTTTACTATAATGAGTCTCCGTGTAGTTTCCTTTGTATTTATCTGCTTTCTGGTTTATAAATTCTGAAAAGTTCTTTCATCAACTTCTGGAAAATTCTTAGCAATTTTTTCTTGAAATATTGTTTTTTCCCATTATTCTCCTCTACTTCTGGAATTTCCAAATGACATACATGTTAAACATTCTCACACTGTCTCTTACATCTCCAAGACTGTTTCCTAATACTGTAAATCCTTTCTTTTTTTCTTACGCTTTAAGTTACTTTTATTTTTCCTACTTTTTGCTGCCATGTGTGTCTAATGTATTACTGTTAAAACCATCTATACTCTAGTTGGTTTGTTTTTCAGAGGAGAAGGTGAAGGAAGCAGGGAAGGGAAGTAGTATCTCCCAAATGCTAGATTTTTTGTTCCCAAATGCCTATAATGGTTAAGACTATATTGGGCCAAATCTTGGAGCTAGGAACTCAAATCACATCTCCCATTTAAGTGGCAAGGATGTAACTACTTGAGCCCCCATTTGCTGCATTAGCAGAAAGGATGGAATTGGGAGATGGGGCAAGAACTTCAACCCAGGCAATTCAAGTACTGAAAAATACTCTCTTAACCAGCAGCTAAACTGCTAGGCCAAATGCCTGTACTCATCATATATAGCTTAAACCCATTTACAATAAAAACCTTATTTTTCAGAGTTAGATTTTCATTTGATTCTCTTTTGATTCTAGTTTTATCCTAAAATTCTGTATCTTAACATTACAAATGTAATAAGCATAAGAATTATTTAAAATATATATCTGAAAATTCTAGTATGTTAAACATTTAGGAACTTGTCATGCTTTTTTTAAAAAAAATTGATTATCATTTGTTGGTATACATGTTCATGTTTTATCACATGTGGAGTGCTGCATATGAAAAACTTCTGGTGACTACTTGATAGGATTTACTTATGCTTTTGACAGACAGACCACCTTAATCTAGTCTGGGAATAGACTGACTTAAAGCTCAAATTCTATTTTCATGTGGCTAGTCTAGGTTTATTTTTGCCCATGTTTCTACATCATGGCCCTTCAGGGATTACAACTAAATTTCTAAGGAGGAAGTTCTTAAATTTTCAGCATGCATTTGATTCAGCTGAAGGACTTTTTAAATGCAAATTCTACACTTTTTCTCCTCCCCCATTTCCGAAGTTTCTGATTCATTAAGATCTGAGCTTCAAAATATGCTTTTTTAACAGGTCCCCAGGAAATACTAATGTTCCTGGTCTGGGAACAATGAATTTTAAAAAAGATTTTATTTATTTGAACACACACACACTCCTTCTACCTTGCATCTTGTTGATCCACTCTCCAAATGAGCACAATGAGATGAGGCTGAAACCAGTCTGAAGCCATGAGCTCCCTCTCCCTCTCATTTGAGTGGCCATTAGCCCACGTACTTTCCAAGGCACATTACAGGGACATGAAATGGAAGTGGAACAGCTGGAACTCAAGGGCACTCATGTTGGGCATCAATATTACAGGTTGCAGCTCAACTCCGCCCCAACAACCCCAGCCCCTGAGGACCATATTTTGAGAGTTGCATAGAGTGTTTTTCCTGTGTTGTTGCTCTTTGGATGACCATGACTACTTTTTGCCGCCAAGCCCCATGAGACTGCTAAAAGCCCTGCTCAGCTTACCACTATCATTCTGCCAGGCTTTTTGTGCTGTCAATTTGGCACTCAAAATCAACAAATGCCTCGATGTGAAATTCACAGAAAAATGTCAGGCTCTAAGATCCTATCCGCTTGAATCCTGTTTGTTCTTATAATTCTCAGCACCTTCAAACTGATTTTGTTTTAATTGCTTCTGTTGATTTTGGTCTAAGGATGAATGTAGTCCAAGATAGTCCATCATAGCTGGAAATGCTTACCTATAAACCATTATTTTAGTATCTATAATGCCATTAAAGAAATAATCCTTAAATGTTGCATCAAAATAATTTGAAGCACTGATTTTTAGCCCTGCCTGAGACCTCCTAGACTTTAGGTTTTCAGAAGATGTCTAAAGCATCTCATTTTTAATTGGCTCCCTGTACATTTCTGAAGTATGACCATGTCAAGAAATAACTGTCTAGGGGGTGGTGAGCACCATATCACAATAGGCTAAGCTGTTAGTTGGGGCATCCACTTTCCATGTCAGTGTCTGCTTCAAGACCTAGCTACTTAGAGCTTCTAATGCAGCTCCTGTTAATATGCCTGTGAGATGACAGAGGATAAGAAACCTAGATGGAGTTCTGGCTTTGGCCTGGCCCAAGCCCAGTTGTGATAGGCATTTAAGGAATGAACCAGAAGATGAAAGATTTCATTTTTTGGTGTCTCTCTCTGTCACTTGCCTTTCAATTAAATGAATTTCAATAAGATTTATTTATCTTATTGGAAAGGCAGAAGTACAGAGAGGAGGAGAGACAGAGAGGAAGATCCTCCATCAATGATTCTTTCCCCAAGTAACCGCAACGGCTGGTGCTGCGCTGATCCTGGCCAGGAGCCAGGAGCTTCTTTCCAGGTCTCCCACACAAGTTCAGGGTCCCAAGGCTTTGGGCCATCCTTGACTGCTTTCCCAGGTCACAAGCAGAGAGCTGGATGGGAAGTGGAACTGCTGGAATCAGAACCAGTGCCCATATGGGATCCTGGCACATTGAAGGCGAGGACCTTAACCATTACACTATAGCACCAGGCCCTAAATGAATATTTTTAAAAGAAACAAGGCTCTAAATAATCATAATATGAAAGGAAAAGTATCACTTTTATGATTGAAAATAATAGGTACACATTTAAAAATTATTGTTCAGTCACTGTTACTCTTTCAAAGTTCCATGAATTTGCTCTAAAATAATATTAGTGGTAGCTTTGAAAATGTAGGATTTGGCTTTTTCTCTTCTTCTTCCCTTTCCGCTTTTATTCTCACATTCCTTCAAAGACATAATACAAAATAAATTTTAATGTGAAAGTTGGATAACTAATAGAATGCATGTATTTTCTTATGAAAATACATATGATGAAAATAATATGATAAAACATCCCAGAATATTCTTAGATATGTTTATTATTCCAATTTCCTTACTGACCTTGAATGATTTCTGTATACCTTGCAAGGTTTTCCAAATAGCTCTCTTAGATTCCAAAGAAACTTGTTTAGCGCTGATACTGTGGGAGATTTTTATTTGGGACAGTCCAAGAAGATGGATAAATATGATCTCTTAATAGAATATCAACAAACAGGAAAGCAATAGTGTCTAATTTCTGATGGCATTCCTTCATTTTTCAGACTGCACCTGTTGCCATTGAAGCAGAAAACAGAGGTGAGATGAAGCTAGCTCTCCAGTACGTTCCAGAGCCCACACCCGGTATGTGACGATTCTCTATCTAAATACATGCCCTTGCCTTATACCTCTTTTCATCAAGGATTCATTTGAGAATATTTTAAAAGGAGAAGTTCTGAACAAATTTAAGTTAGTAATTGTGTAGACCCGATAAATCAACTCACAGTTGTAAACTAGAAATTTTACATTTTAAATTTGTGGTTAAAACATGTATAATTTTAAAACAACCTTAATAACTGCACAGATCAGTAGTGTTAAATATTTGCACATTCCTGTTTGTAAATAGATCCCTAGAGTTTTTTCATCTAACAAATCTGAAAAATATACTCATTAAGCAACAAGTCTTCTTTTCCTTCATAACTACCATTCTGTAAGAGGAATTTTTCTCTTCTCTCTCTCTCTCTCCTCCTTTTTTTGAGGGGGCTTAGTTTATAGATCTTGTTTCCATTTTCACCTCACTGTCCAAAAATTCTGAATATGTACAATGTAAATAGCCTTCCTTGTAATCATAATTTGAGCATATTAATAGTGCTGTGATAAGAAAGGAACTTGAGTGTTCTTCATGATCAGAACTGGAAGAATTCATTGGAAGGCTACAAGAAATTAGAATTCAGTGGTCTTCCACTCATTAGGAAGTAATACTTTTCCTTGAGATTACCAAGTCCGTTGCTGATATTAGACCTCCTTCAGCCGAGTCAAGGAACCAGAGAAAGGCAGGGAATTAACCCTGGTCCCCTTTCACCTCCACTTCCCAAATAGCTCCACAGATTATCCTCTATAAGAATCTTTGTGAACGACATTCCAATTGAGTTTAAAAAAGAATCCAAGGTTAGGCAAAGTACATCTCAAGGCCAAACTTCTGCTGTCTTGGGACTGCTGAGTCTTTCTGTAAGGCAGATTCTTTCAAGTATAACTTGCATCTTATTGTTCATGGCCAAATCCAGTCATTCTGCCAACCCCTGTTCCAGTTTTGTCCAGTATCACCTGGTAATGGACGTTGGAAGAATGTGTTGTGATGAACTTCACCTAGTCTGGGTTTCTGCTCATATTGTTTCACTTTCCTGGAATAGCTTCCCTATTCATTTTTTTTTAAATAAAAATCCTGATTTTATTAACCTTCTCTGATCGTGCCATCTTCTAGAATACTACAATAATATCTGGAGATTTCATCCTATGTTACATTTTATGATTTTATGGTTTATTCACTCCACCTTGACTACAAACATTTCCCAAGGATGTAGATAATTTCTTGTCTTTCTTTTATATCTAATGACATTACTAACATAGAATCAGCCCATAACAGATGCTCATTAAATACTATTTGTTGACTAAGTTAACCCAGTTAGAAAAATCTGATAACATTCCCCTGTCCATTTGACCCAAACCAAGAGAATAACTTCAGACTAAGACAATTTCCTAACAGTTCCCTGACCACAATATCAACTATTAGTTGTGCACATATAATATTCCTATAATTGTATAATAACTTTAAATAAAAGGAGAGACTACACCTGACCCAATATTTGTTCAGGTTGACTTATACTTAAATATATTTTATTAGCACCAACTGGCATTGATATTCATGTTTGAAAGGTATATATACATTTCATATTTTAAATATAATTGTAAATATGATTCATATCCCTGACATCTGTTCGTCGAACCAAACAAACCCCACAAATAATGATGTAATGCTCTGAATTTGAATGGATCACATGTGTTTTTAATTTATTTTATTTTATATTTAATATTTTTGCATAGTTGAGAGGGATCCACACCCATGTGGGTCTCTGATAAGAGTAGGAAGGATCAAGGTACAGAGCAAGATAGGTGGGGCAAACGATTCCATTTTTTTCCTGTGTCCTCATGTGAGGTAAGTGAGGGGACCACTCCTTGCTGTCATTCTACGTTGACATCCAGGGATAAGGTAGTGTCCTTTGATTATGCCTTAGAGCCCCTGATGTGGAAAAGAGTGTTCCAAGGGTGTTATTCTTGAGTGGTTTTTGTAGTTCTGAGACATCATTGGCTTCATTGCAACAGGTTGAGAAAATGTTTCTAAGGTCTTTTGGCTGACCAGGTCTACCTTGACGTATCTGCAGGCCCAGGAACATGTTGCAAAGCTTGGCCAGGAGAGTGGTCCAACCTATTCTGCTTTCCATTCTCTCACAAAGCACAGCATATCTCCTGCTGGCCTAGATGAGCTGGCTGTCAGGTCCCCAATGTGCATCTGGCCATGCTATCTACTGCACAAACATCAGCAACTAAGGAAGCCTAGTCCCAATACATGCATTCCAAGGTCAGACCACATATATTGTGATTTTCCTTGGGGCTAGGATTTGAGTCCAGCAGCCTAGTTGGAGAGTCCCCCAAGAAACTGACTGGGATGACCTCTGACTTGATTCTTGTATGCACCAGTTAGTTCAGGATCAGGTTCATTCTGTTATCTGCACCAGCCAATGCACATACCTATGGATGCAGATGCCTGATCACCTCTACCCCCAATCCCATCTCTCATGATAACTGATGTGTGCTGTAGTCTAGCCTAGCCCAGCCCACTACAGGCTCAGTCTTAATACAAAGCAGCAGGTATAGCAGCCTAGTCAGGACTACCACAATAACCCCCACCAGGCCTGCCTCTAGCTCCAGTTTTCCCCTGTGCTGGCGTGTACTGCAGCCTAACCCCAACTGTTCTACATCACATGTGGCTCTTGTGCACACCCATGGTGCTGCAGCTTAGCTCAGCTTGTTCTGCCTCCAGACCCAGCCCACACATTTGCCAATGGGTGCTACTGTTGTGACCAGCCTGACTTGTCCCCAAACTTGCCTCTTATGTTCACCTGTAGTAGTTGCAGCCCATCAGGAAAGTGCCCACATTTCCCCAACCGAGCCTGCTCCCAGGCCCAGATCTTGCATCTGCCAGGGGTGTACTGCAGTCCAACCTGACATGACTCTCACCAAGTCCTGGCACTTGTCAGTGGATGCTGTAACCTGGTCCAGCTGGCCTACCTCTAATCTCAATTCTCATGCTCTCCAGCAGAATCAACAGCCCAGCAAGAGAGCCCTCAAGCTTCCCTAACCAGTCCACTCCCAGCTCTGGATCTTGTGTATGCCAGCATGTGCTGTGGCCCAGTCTGAGATGGCCTACCACTAGTCTCAGTAGGTGCTACAACCTGGCTCAGCCTGGGCTGCCCCTTCCCCAACCAACCCAGCTTTCACCAGCAGGTGCAGCAGTCTGGCCCAACCTAGCCCATCCCCAGCTGTCATGTGAACTGACAGATGTAGCACTCCAACCCAGTGTCTGCTGTGGACTGGCCCAGCCCAGCTCATCTCCGACACCTGGCTCACACATATGCATTAAGCAGGCTGCTTTTCTCCCAGCATGTAACATTTGCCAAGGTACAAAGTACCTAGCCAATTGTGTACAGCTGGGGTCATGTGCTATTTTTATAGAGATATTTGAGTTCACTGTGGCCAATCTATGAAAAGCCTGATTAGGAACATATAGATTTGGCACTGGAATGGGTGCCAGGCTCATGGGAAGCTGGAGGTGTGGACTTGCAGGGAGCCTGGGGATGGCACCAGTGGAGATGTGAGGGGACCTTGAGACTCATGCCCAGGCAGGTGGACCAAGCCAGGGGATGTCTTCAGATGCATGATCCTGGGTAGGGTAAAGGGAGGTGAGGGGAGAGCCCTAGGTTAGCAATGCTAGCATGGTTTGCTAGTGGACTGGGCTTGGGAGCTTTGAATGAGCTTGGATCTTGGGGTGGGCAGAGGGGTAAGGTCTCAGGCCAACATACATGCCAGGAGCTTAGAACCCTAGTGGGTGGGCAGAGCTCCAGGCCAGCACACCACACCATTGGAAGATTGGGCTTCAGAAGACTGGGCTGGGGAATGCATGTTCTCCCAGGCACAGGGACTATGGATTGCTCAGGGAAGGAGGTGATGGGATGTGCTTGAGGGAGGACTTCTGAGGGAGTATGTTGCATACAAGGAATGACTTCTGAAGGACTTTCACAGACAAGACCACTGTACTTGCAGGTAAATAAGGGGGCTAAGATAATGGTTTGGTGGAGGGAAGCTGGATGACTTTTCTGGGTCAGACTGATGCTCCCACCCACATGGGAGACCTGAGCTGGGCTAGTTGGCATGGACCACCACCAACCACCACCCAACAGTGCACACTAAAGCTAGGGCCGTATAGGGCTAGATCACAGTACCAACCAGTGAATGTCGTAGAATAGGCTGGGTAATGTTAAACTGGGCCGTGAAACAGGGCAGCATACAAGAGAACCAGGTTTGGCAGCAAATTCTGTTGGGGCTATGTGGGCCTACCCCAGTGGAATTGCAATTTCAGCTGGTTCAATCAAGAACTCGAGGTGTTGAAGGGCTGAGCTAAGCATGACAATGGAACCCACCAACACTAATGGATACTGGGGTGGGAGCAGGCTGGACTGGTCCAGGCTGCAGCACTCATAGGTGCCTCCAAGAAGAGGGTATCAGGCAGGCCAGATTGCAACATCCACCAGTTCATACAAAGGCTGAGACAGAGGAGGCTGAGTATGCCAGGCAGGGACCTAACATCTACTGCCATAAAAGAGACCTGGGTCTTGGAGTGGGTCTAGTGGAGGAATATAAGTATCTCTCCTGGTGGGCTATAGCTCCCACTGGTGAGCATGTGATGCAGGCTGGTTAGGCCAAGCAAGGTAAGGCAGCTCCACTCATCGGCAAATGTATGGGTTGGTTCTGGAAGGGAACAGACGGGCAGAGCTAGGCCAAGCTTATCCCACTGGCATGTGCAGGAGCCAGGCTGGAGTGTGGGTCATGCCAAGTAGGGTATCATATCTACTGGTTTGCATGAACCAGGGATGGGGGCAGACTGGTGAGGGGTCTAGCACCCACTGGATGAGCATTGGGTCAGTTGGGTTGAGCTAGGCTTTAGTGCCCATTGATGTGTACAAGAGCTGAATGGCACAAGGGGCAGACTAGACCAATCTGCTGCACATGCTGGCATGCACAGGAACTAGAGCTGGGGATGGGCCTGTGGGGATTACTGGGGGTCTCTCCGACTAGGCTGCAGCTCCTGCAAGAGTATATGAGGGCTAAGTGTGTGGTGGGCTGGGTTGGGATGGGCCAGGCTGGGCCATAGCATCCTTATAGTTTGAATAAGATGGGGTTGGAAACAGAACTGACCCAGCAACTGCAACTGTCAATGTGTGAGTAGGCTGATGTGGGTGACAGACTGAGCCAGACCCCGTACAGGTAAGCACACAACAAGAGTCAGGTCTGGAATCACCTCAGACAAGATTTCTTTCAGGATCCCCCCAACTGAGCCGCTGGACTCAGAACCCAAACATAAGGAGAATCATAGGATCTGTTGTCTGACAGTGGAGTGCATGTGTCAGAACTGGGTCTCTTCAGTGGCTAAGACAGAGTAGATGGGAGGTCCAGGTGCACATGGATGATACAGCAGTCCATTGTGACCTGCAGAGGACTTCTGGTACCATAGCAGAGGATGGAGGGCCAAACAAACTGGACAACTTCCCATGCCAAGTATTGACAGCAAATACCTGGGTCAATGGAGACTCTAAGGTGTACTGTGTCAACCAACAATCCTTGGAAGGATTTCCTCACCCTTGGATTGGCAAGATTGACAGCATTTCAGACCTATTGAAACCATTTGAGCAGAACCCTCGGAGCATGCTCCACATCAGGGACTCTGGAATGATATCGGGTAGCCATTCCCCATCCCTGGTTACTAATGTGGTTGAGATGCTGGATGCAGTTTCTTTGCTTCTCTCCTCCCTTTCCTCACATACGAGAGGAAGAAAAAGAAAATTTGGAGATGATCTCACCCGCTTTCATCCAATCCTCAACCCTTCCCCACCCTGATCAGTGGTCTATATGGTCCTGCATCCTTTTCAACTATGTAAACATAATTAAAAATGTAATTTAATTTTAAAAAAGATAAATGTGTTTTTTAAAAAAGAATGTAAAGATTTGATCAATTGGGATAATACCTGTAAGCACTAGCTAGTATCCCTCAATCAGTATTTTGAAACAATGGCTTGGGATGTGGTATTGCTAAGAGGGAAAAGCAGTAAAATTTACTGTCCTTTTTCTGTTACAGGTAAAAAGCTTCCTACAACTGGAGAAGTACACATTTGGGTGAAAGAATGCCTTGATCTACCACTACTAAGGGGAAACCATCTAAATTCTTTTGTTAAATGGTAACAGCATTGATGACTCTGCTGTCTGTAGTCCTGCTGGGGCCTGGGCTTTGCTGGTTGATTTTAGTTCTGTCTGTGATGCTTAAACCCATCAGTCATAATTTAAGTGAATTTACTAGAAACACTGGAGGCATGAATTAGAGGGATCTGTAACATGAATGCCCACATCCCACATCAAAGTGTCTGGATTTGAGTTTTGACTCTACTTCTGACTCCAGCTTCCTGCTAATGCACACCCTGGGAGGCAGTTGGCTCAAGTATCTGGGTCCTTACCACACTTGTAGGAGACCTACACTAAGTTCCTACTTTCTGGCGTCAGCCTGGCGCAGTCACAGTTGTTGTTAGCAGTGGGGAGTGAATCAGCACATGGGAGTTCTCTTTCTGTTTTTCAAGTATATAATTTTTCAAAAAATAATTTATATATATACATATCTTTAAAAATTTACATAGTTCCTAATGGTAGGATACTGCATTACTTTATTTCCTTTGTAAAATATGAATTCCTTCTTTTCTTTATCCCACTTCTTTTGTGGCTCATTTGTAAAGGGCTTTGACATCATATTGCCAATATTTGAAAAATGATTTGCTAAACAAATGCCTACCAAAAGTTAGCTTGTAAGAACTTAAGATAGTTTGGGTCCCTCTGACTACTTTTAGCTAAATAGGTTCTACCAGAAGATTGTTGTAGCTTTTCAAACATGTTACATATTGTTAAATATAAATGGCAATATTTATGATTTTTCCTATACCTGATCTTCATACATATTAACTGGTAATACTAAGGTAAGGTCAGTCTTTTATTCCAAGACCACTCTTAGAGCTTGCCTTAAACAAGAAACATGATCAGTTAAAGTTCATTCAATAATCGTAAATAAAACTTAAACGATTATGAAAATATGTAATTAATTATTTTAAAAGATTTTTTAAATTTAAACAGCAAAGTTACAGAGACAGATTTCCCATCCACTGGTTCACTCCTCAAAGGGCCACAACAGCCGGAGCTGGGCTGATCTGAAGCCAAGAGCTTCCTTCAGGTTTCCCACAGAGGTGCAAGGGCCCAAGGACTTGACCCATCCTCCACTGCTTCCCCACGCTGTAAACAGGAAACTAATTAGAAGTGGAGCAGCCAGGACACAAATCAGCACCCATATGGGATGGTGTGATAGGCAGAGGCTTAACCTACTACACTAAAGCATCAGACCCTGTAATTTATTCTTAAAGTCAAATCTAGCTAATTAGCAAAATTTTTAAAAATTCTATATAGCACTAATTCCTTAGGTAATATTGTAGGCAATCAAGCATGCATTCTGCTTGCATAGCTAAGAAGTCCTCAAGCAATGCCATATTAAGAACTTATTTAATGTAGACACGGAACAAGTGTTTTGCATGTTATTTAACTCTAATGTCAGCCTTACGACATCAAGCATCACTATTTCAATTTTACAGATAACAAAACAGGTTTCTTAAGGGTACAATAACTTTACTGAGAATGCACAGCCAGTACATGTCAGTCAGAATTCAAGCTAAGCATGGTGAACTCTGTCCAAAGTCTTTCTAGCATGATGTGCTTCCCCACCATACCCTTACCCCAATCACTGCCATCTCCCAACAATTTTCCCCTCCATTACTAATGTTTATAGCTGTGCTGAAGTGTGCTGAAAGCATAAGTATTCACTATCTTACCATAATGCTTTCCCAATAATGCTTCTGGTTATAGTACCATCCTTCCAGATACAAGTAGGAAAAGTCGCCAGAAGACAAGAGCTGTAGGGAAAACCACCAACCCTATTTTCAACCACACCATGGTGTATGATGGGTTCAGACCTGAAGATCTGACGGAAGCCTGTGTAGAGCTCACTGTCTGGGACCATTATAAGTTAACCAACCAGTTCTTGGGAGGTCTTCGGATTGGATTTGGAACAGGTAACATTTGATAAACTTAAATCTCCATTAGCACAATTCTTCTGGAGACACTAAAGATTGATTTGTTTGTTGGTTTTCTCTTCCTTGTGGAAAATAGTAATCTACTTCTGCTAAGTATAATGAAATGAATGACTAAAGGGTAATAAATGATAGATAAATAAATGTCAGGTTATATGCCAAGGGCTCTAGGTACAAGGAGTAATAGGGTACACCATCTGTCCTTATAGAATTTAAGTTATTTTGAATACTGGGTACAAAAAGCAAAGCCTTCATTGCTTCTACATCCTCTCCCTGACAAATATCTATGTTCATTCAAGGTAAAAGGTATGCTTTGGATTATAGTAACTAGCATTTACAAAGCACTAGCCACTGTACTGATTATTTGCATTATTTCATTTAACTCTCAAACTATTATGTAATTGCTAGCATGATCCCCAATGATGCTGATATTCTAAGAAATTAAGTAACAGAGCCGCTAAAAGAATTTAGATTTGAAAATGAGCCTCTAGATGTTCAAGTTTTAATGATACTTGCTTCGAAATCATCCAGTCCAATGCATAATCCTCCCAACTCTATGTGGCCCTAGTTGTCAACTAGCTTTTACATTAATGGGAAAAGAAATGATTGTTCTTAGAATGATGTCCATGATGAAACCACTCAGATGAATAAACAGCTCTTCCTGATATTGAGTACCAGATTTGCTCTCTTGGCGATTTTGAGACTCTTGCTGTCTTCCACTGGTGATTAGGAAATGACCTTCCCTACCCTCCATAATCTTCCTTTGTAAATATAAAAGTTCCTTTTTTTCAGGTAAAAGTTATGGGACTGAAGTAGATTGGATGGACTCTACGTCAGAGGAAGTTGCTCTCTGGGAGAAGATGGTAAATAGCCCCAACACTTGGATTGAAGCAACACTGCCTCTTAGGATGCTTTTGATTGCCAAGATTTCCAAATGAAAGGCCACCAGCTCCTCCCCAAGAACTATTGAACAGGTGAAATTTGACCTTGAAAATCTGACTTCATAGCAAAGCTCTTCACTTTTCATTTCTTGCCACTAATGGATACTACACAGAATGTTAAAGACCACCTGCATGTGTTTTTGATTATGAGGTCCAAGAGATTTAAATAAAACATGTAACTTCCTTGTTACTCCAACATTCAGAGAAAGCATTTGAGCAATTTTAGGAAAATGTCATTATTGCTTTGAAGAAAAGGCTGCCTCTAAAATGCTACATGTGGAGTCTTTTTAACCAGATAAATATTTGTTGGCCATTATCTGTTTCAAACTGCAATCTTGTACTAAAGTTACAAAGGCTTGCCACATGATTATTGCAAACTCTTGTGGGACTTATAAATGTGTAGGTTGTAGAAAAGTAACAAAGATATTCCTGGAGGGAAAAAAAAAGGAAAATCAGCAGAGATGAGAAGGATTCTTACCATCATAAAATGACTTACGCTGTAACCACTAAGAAAATACAGAATACCATATTACAGCAATGAGATTGAATTTACAAGCAGTATTTGTGCCTTGAAAACCTACTTTTCCTTTTTCCAGTGCTAAAGAAGTTTGCAAGTGTACTTTGGTGCCACCAACTGGTCATTAAGCAGAATTCAGTTCTTGACTTAGGCCTCAAGCTGTATTTTGTGAAGGAGTATGTTAACAATCTTAACATGATTGCTTTTCCTGTAACTTTACTACATGCAAGTGGTATAATAACTGTCAAAGACATGCTTTGCAACAAAGTTTTAATTAAAATATAAATTGTTCAATTTTACTGTACTTTCTATGTATGTATAATTTTCATTAAATATTTTATAGAACACTTAAGCCAAATAAATTATATGATTTAAAGTCTATTGAAAAATTAACCTGATTTCTATTTTGGTAATATGTTTTACATTAAGAATCCTAAAATCTGAGTTTCCAACAAAGTTAGTGAACTTCTTGGCTATATTTCTTCTGTCTATTGACATTCTGGGCATCATTTTCCCTAGGTGAGTTGCTAAGGCTATATTACTAAAAGTAGAACTTTTCTCTTTGAAAAACTAATTAAAAATCTTTGAAGATAAAATTTATTCATTTAAATTTTATTTTTATTTTTGTTTTCTTTTAAAAAGGAGGAAGAAAAAAGTTGGCAGAGAAACCTTTCTATCTGCTGCTTTATTCCTCAAATGCACACAACAACAGGGACTAAGTCAGGCTGAGGCCAGAACCCCAAAACTCCATCTGAATATCCTACAAGGGTAACTGGGGCACAAGTACTTGAGCCATCAACTGCTGCCTGCCAGAGTGCAGGTAGCTGAATAGCTGAGCATAGTAGCTGAGACCTGAACCTGACAAAGGACATGGATGTCCCAAGTAGCAACATTGTGACACATCTGCCCCAACAGTTATTCTTAAAAGAGTTTCCATGAGATGCTTTTAACAGATGCAGCATTACACCTTCATGGCCCCCAAGTAACTTGTCAGTCTTTAAGCACTGAAAAGCAAGTATTCGGTGTAGCGGTAAGGATGCTACCTGGGACATCTGCATCCCATACCCGAGTGCCTGGATTTGAGTCCCCCTCCTTCTTCTGATTCCAGCTGCCTGCTAATAATGCATACCTTGAAGGCAGCAGGTGTTCACTTAAGAACTTAGTACCCTGCCTCCCACGTGACAGACCCAGATTGACATAAAGGCTCCAGGCTCCAGCTTGACCCAGCTAGGACTGCTGCAGACATTTAAGGGAGTGAATTAGCCAATGAATGGTGTGTCTGTCTTTCTGCCTTTCAAATTAATTGATATAGAATATATAATAGAATATATACACATATACATATATGCAAACGTACATACACACACACTTTAAAAAGCACTGACTTAATGTAGGTTTGGGGACATGTGGGTGATGGACAAACATAGAATCCTACAATAAATACCCAATAACTATCAGTGGAAGCAATTAGAGTGCTTGCTTTGTTCCCCAAGCAGAATCAGATATAATTGTAAGAACAACTTACCTAACAACTTTTCCACGTTCTTCCTTTGTTCTTTGTGAGGATTATTCCAGGTAAGTTCGGTTTGCCTTCTCTGGCCTTGGGGAAAAGAAAAGAGGGCTAAGTAGAGCTATACCTCCCAGATTGGTTTGGCATGCAGTAGCAGAAGTGTTCTGTTCTGGTTTGTCCAACCTCACGGAAAAAAACTTTTTCAACCTATCAGTATCTGTTCGACCACCTCCTGGCATGTGAAGCACTATTAAGAATTGTTCTGATCCCTTGGAAAGGACTAGGATTGGCTCCTTTCTCTCATGCCCTGATCCTCAACTGCAAAATGCCAGAGTGGACATTAGAGATACTCATTCTCTGCACTGGTCTATGGCACTTTGATCTGCCTCGGAGGTCCAGGAGTATTTCATATCATATTTCTTTCAGAAAAGCAAAATGCCAATGGTGGATATAATCTCACCTGGCTGCAAGAGCTGACAGGCTTTTGTGATATGAGATATTCCTGGTAAGACCCCACTAACATGGCTAAGCAAACTGGAAGCATCTTTGTGGAGTCTGTGTTTAGGCCTTTTGGGTGGTGGCTGTTGCTTTTCTCAGAAACCCAAATGGAAATAAGCTAAAAAGAAGATTTGCTGGGGCCCAGCGCAGTGGCGCAAGTGGTTAAGGTCCTCTCCTTGCACGCCCGGGATCCCATGTGGGCGCCAGATCTATCCCAGCAGCCCCGCTTCCCTTCCAGCTCCCTGCCTGTGGCCCAGGAAAGCAGTCGAGGACAGCCCAAAGCTTTGGGAACCTGCACCCGCGTGGGAGACCCGGAAGAGGCTCCTGGCTTCGGATCGGCCTTTGCGCTCACTTGGGGAGTGAAACATCGGACGGAAGATCTTCCTCTCTGTCTCTCCTCTCTGTATATCTGCCTTTCCAATAAAAATAATAATAATAAAAAAAAAAGATTTGCTGGAAGTACCAGGTTAGCCCACAGAACTAAACAAGTACACAGGAACCTAGATTGCTGTGACAACTTGCTCCTGCAGGAACCAGGAATTCAATGTCTCTCTTCTTCCTGAAAGACAGGAAATGAGACCTGAGGCAGCTCCAGCTTCGCAGTCTCTCAGTCGAGCACTTCTCAGGTTCAAGCTTAAGAGATCTCCCCAGGAAGTTGGTGAGGATTGCATCGTATCTCCACCACTGCAGCCAGCGGAGGAGTAGATACAATTTGTCTATCTCCCCAAGTGAAAATATTTCAAAATTCCCTATTTTTAAAAAAATTGAAGTAATTGTATTTCTTTATTATTTTGTATTGGAAATTCAGATTTACAGAGAGAAGGAGAGACAGAAGGAAAAATCTTCCACCTGCTGGTTCACTCCCCAAGTAGCCACAATAGTCAGAGCTGAACCAATCCAAACCCAGGAACCAGGAGCTTCCTCTGGGTCTTCCACGCGGGTACAGGGTTCCAAGGCTTTGGGCCATCCCTTACTGCTTTCCCAGGCAACAAGCAGGAAGCTGGAAGGGAAGTGGAATAGCTGGGACATGAACCAGCGCCCAAATGGGATCTCAGCATGTACAAGATGAGAATTTTAGACACTAGGCTACTGCATCTGGCCCAGTAATTGTATTTCTAAGGATCACTTCTGATGAGGGGCCTGAGTTCTTTCCTCCCCTATGACTGCTGTGGTTTCTCTATAGGCAGTAAGGACCGTGGGACACTTCTTCCAGTGAGAACTACCCTTCTTCCTCTGTCTACATTCCCCAGGGTATTTACTTGCATATTTCTGTCATCCCATGTTCACTGTCCAACAAGAAACTTCTGAATATCTGCCTTCTCCTATAGTCTCATTGTGCTTGGGAATTGCTATCTCCTACCTCCATAAATTTCACTAGTTTGTTTCATAAAACAAATGTCCCCACAAATGTGACCCAGTTATAGAACATTTCCTTTATTTTTGGCTGACTTGTTTCCAAAATAACTGGTTTTCCCTTAGCCATGCAAAAATAATAATCTACCCCCATACCGGATTTCACATGATTGTTCCTCTACCTTCTTATAAATGTCTCTATTTCTAAAGCCATGTGCCGTTCAGTTACATCAGGCAAGGAGTGAATGTGGTCAAGTGGCCTCCAGAGCCAAATAGCTTATTTGAATTCTTTTTGAATTATTTAGTAGCTGTGTGACCTTGGGCAAGCTGTCTAACTTATGTCTCATCTACTTGAAGGGAAAATTGTACCTACCCTGGAAAAGTAAATGAATGAATATTAAGTATTCATGTTTAGCATTGAGCGGATGTTTGCTATTTTGGTTATCCTCTCCTGATGATCAACTCCCATCCTCCCCAGTTCATCTCATTTGTTGAGGAATCCCACTCCACAACTTTTGACTGTTCAGCAAACACTTGGCTTATCCTTGACCTGCTCAGTCTGAATGCTGCTAATCTCTTCCTTTCAGCCACACACAGCCCCAACCTCAATATAACTGAGAACTATCCTGCCTCTAACGTTTTAAATTCAAACATCCTCTAACCAAAATCTTCAATGCTTGCAGCTTTTAGTTCATTATTCTGTAATGTCTACTCATATTCTTTTTTTTAAAGATTTATTTTTATTGTTTTTTCATTGGAAAGGCAGATATACAGAGAGGAGAGACAGAGAGGAAGATCTTCCGTCCGATGATTCATTCCCCAAGTGAACGCAAAGGCCGATCCGAAGCCAGGAGCCTCTTCCGGGTCTCCCACGCGGGTGCAGGTTCCCAAAGCTTTGGGCTGTCCTCGACTGCTTTCCTGGGCCACAGGCATGAGCTGGAAGGGAAGCGGGGCTGCCGGGATTAGAACCGGTGCCCATACGGGATCCCGGGCATGCAAGGCGAGGACCTTTAACCACTTGCGCCACCACGCTGGGCCCTACTCATATTCTTAAAGCTGAGCTCTCCAGTCCCTGAAAAACTACCTTTTGCCTTTCATTATCACTCCTCTGTAAAATTAACTGCTATCTTATCATGTTGACATATTTTTGCTTCCTTTTCTTTCCACTGACTCTCCATTTGTTGACCCTAACACTTCACAGATCCCAGCCTTATGTACATCCACTGAACTACTCTGCCCTTATGCTCTTGGTGAAAATTATGATTGGAGAATATCATGCATCCTAAGTGTAACTGAGATGGGAAATTTCCAGAGATATAGTCTTCTTGGTTTTGCATTTGCACTTTTCTGTTTTGAGGTCCAGCCTAGTTCCTGGCACTCCTATTTTGACTTTGTGAGCGTCTCAGTTTTCTTTGTTTGACTCAACAAATGTCTGTTTGCTTAGAAAGATTGCTAGGTTTCCATTAAAATAATCTTCCATAATACTCCTCTTTCCATCTAAGCTGCGACCATCTTCTACCTCTCAGTTTTTTTCATTTTATTCTTTGAGAGTGATATGTTAAAGTCATTCATGATTCCCTTAGCAGTTGTCACACTGAATTGCTGTTGCCTATTGTTTGTTTCCATCACTAAACTATAATCATCTTAAGAGCTGACACTGTAACCTTGAACTCAACAGTTTCTTGGTACATACAACTCCATGAATATACAAATGCACAAATGAATGATGACATAAGGCTTTGGGGTTCTGTAAAAAAAAAAAATCTGGATTAAAATTCCCAACTTTATCATTTATTCTTTGGGTGACCTCAACAATTTGCTTAGTTTCTCCGAGGCTAGCTTTCTTTGATCCCTGTAACTTATAAACAATAGCTAAGTAATAGTAGTGTCATATTTATATTGTTCAGCTTCTTTCTATTTTACTAGTAGTTAAAAAGGGGAAGAGCTGAATATCTAATAGAGTGAGACAGTGCTATAAGAAGTAAGAGAATATGAACTGGGGATTACTGTAAACAGGATTGAGCTGTGCCCAATCCTGCAGCTGCAGACTGATGGCCATTTAGGGTCCTGGCTTGAAGAGCACCTCTGCCCCTTTGGTTTCATAGGTTACATGTTTTTGAGGAGCCAATGGTGTTTGCACAGACAGCAATTCATTCTCGTGACAACTCACAAGAATTGGGGGATAGAGGAGATAGAGGCGGAGATAAAGGCAGAATATTTCCCTGTCAGCTTGATTTGTTTGCTTGCACCAGAAATAGGTGGAGTCGGCTTTCTCCTTGATGCTGGCAGGAAATGGAGTGGGGCTAGTGTCCGTGCTGCGAGCTGGGGCTGTGAGCTTAGCACTGTGATTGGCTTAAACAAACAAACAAAAAAAGACAAGAGTAACCTTACAGATGAGCTCTGTACTGCCCCAGATCCCCATAGTTACTTCACAACATTCTGAAGGCCTGTGTACCAATCACAGAGCTCCTTACTGGGAAAACCAACGGCTGGAGCGTCCATAGCAACCCCCCAGCAGATTTTGAAATCGGAGTGGGTGGGGTTAGTTTTTGGGTGTGGAGGAGGGTGCCTATGCCTCAGGGAGAGCAGGTCGTCAGGATGGACACCCCACCTCCTGAAGAGCTCCCAGACAAGGGACGGGAAAGCTTGAGAAACCAGGAAGAAGAAATGGAGTTTAAGGAACTGGACGGGCTAAGGGAAGCCCTGGCAAACCTGCGGGGCTTGTCGGAGGAGGAGAAGAGCGAGAAGGCGATGCTTTGCTCTCGTATCCAGGAGCAGTCCCAGCTCATCTGCATCCTGAAGCGGAGGTCTGATGAGGCGCTGGAGCGCTGCCAGATCCTGGAGCTGCTCAACACGGAACTGGAAGAAGAGAAGGAACAGGAGGCGGAGAAGCTGAAGGCCCAGCGGCAGCATGTCCGGAAGCTGGAGGAACGTTTTATGACCCTGGCAGCCAACCACGAGTTGATGATCCGTTTCAAGGATGAGCACAAGAGTCAAAATGTCAAGCTCAAGGAAGAGAATGAGAAGCTGAGGCTGGAGAACAACAACCTCTTCAGCCAGGCTCTGAAGGACAAGGAGGCGCAAGTGCTGCAGCTCACTGCCCTGAGTGAGGACCTCACCAAAGAAGTGGAGGCTCTGAAGCAGAGGTGTGCTCAGGGTGCCTGCCAGGCACAGGCCCGGGAGAAGGAGTTGCTGGAGCTACAGACCCAGCAGGCCCGCACCCACGCCAAGGAGGCAGAACAGCTGAGGGGCCAGCTGCAGAATCTCAAGCAGCAACACCAGCAGGCCTTAGAGCAGATGGCCAAGGCAGAGGAGACGCACACTAGCCTGAGCCAGGAGCTGCAGACCCGTTTGCACACCGTGTCTCGAGAGAAGGAGGAGCTGCTGCAACTGTCCATGGAGAGAGGCAAAGTGCTTCAGAGCAAGCAGGCCGAGATCCGCCAGCTCGAGGAGAAGCTGGAGACAGCAGACATGGCCAGGAAGCGCGCACTCGAGAGGTTTGAGCAAGAGGCAGTGGCCGTGAACAGCGATTTGAGAGTCCGGGAGCTCCAACGCCAGGTGGAAGGGATCCAGAAAGCCTATGACAACCTCAGGCTGCAGTCTGAAGCCTTCAAAAAACACAGCCTGGATCTTCTAGGCAAGGAGCGAGAGCTGAATGCCAAACTCCGTCATCTCTTTCCCTAAGGAAGCTACTGTTTTCCCTGACCGCCAGTTGAGAATGCATTTACATGTGCCTTAGCTTTATGGAGAGAGTGAAGAAAGGGAAGCATTCATTATACTTTGAAGCACAAAAGACAACTCATAGAAAAGCTACTTTACTGAGACATTGTCATTGTTGAGCTAATGTTCAGATCTACCTGCCACCTAGAATATACAAAATTTCCCAAATTTCCTTCTGTGCCTTTGAAATCTTCCTAAATTTACCACCAATATCTCACCCATTCTGTTACTTATTCATTTTCAATATCAGATATCCTTGTATAGACTAAGATTTTAAATTAGCAGTTTCTATGATTTAAGTGAGTTTAAAATGTGCAAGGAAAGATGGTCTGGTGAAAAAAAATTAATGCAATTAAACTTCTTAGGTAAGTGGGCTAATAGTCTTCCATAGTTAATACGATCAACAAGCAGATAGCAGCATAATAATAGAATGGATGCTTTGCAGGAAAAAAAAAGTCTTATGCTACTTTGGAAAGCAAAGATCAAGTTCTCTATTGAACTAGACCAACTTAGTAATACTCATTCTGTAAAATTCAAGCAAATCAACCCATTTTATTTTTTCCTGCAGATTTAGACCACATTCCATTTCCCTGGTTTCTCCTCAATTAAGACAAGATTTAGATTTGCATAATGCAGATATTTTGTTTAACATCACAGAATAGTAACAGATCAGATGTGACAATGTGGAGTAACAAGTCATGGTAAACTTGGGATAAGTCACATGATTCAAGTAATAATTCAGTAATTGGTTTTTAGTGCCATATTTTTTTGTAATTAACTTTTCCCTTTTAAAAAGTCTAATGTGTCTGGAAATACTTCAAAAAGTTCATGGAAAATAGAATTCAAAAACAAGTTTATTTTGGTGCAAGACTTTTTAAAGGGATGTATGGCTTTATTAATACAGTTTTCATGAATTTTTTTGAAGTTCGTTTGCTTATGGATAACAGCATTTTTATAGAAATCATTAAAACTATTATACGTTAAAGTTGTTAAAGGTAGTTATAGAAGCACTTTATGTTTTATTCTCTGTATTTGATTATTGATATATAATCAGTAGTGTCTCTCAAGATCATACTAAAGTATTTTCCTCACCCATTTGATGCCAAGAATACCAAGACTTACATAAACAAATTGGATCTACTGAAAAACACAATTTCTTTTTTTTTCAGACTTACTCATTTTTTAAAAAAATTTTCGTTTGTTTATTTTAAGGCAGATCATATTTACAGAGAGAAGAAGAGACTGAGAGAAAGATCTTCTATTTGCTGGCTCACTACGCAAATGGTGGCCACAAAGGCCACAGCTGAGCCAATCCAAAGCCAGGAGATTCTTCTGGGTCTCCCACATGGGTACAGGGTCCCAAGGTTTTGGACTATCCCCCATTGCTTTCCCAGGTCACAAACAGGGAGCTAGATGAAAATAGACCAGCCAGGACACAAACTGGCACCTATTTGGGATCCAGTACTTGAAAGATTCGGATTTTAGACATTGAGACTTCACCCTGGACCCTTGGTACCTTTTTCATAAACCATTTCCAAACTTATTCAGGCAATTTTCCAACTGTTTCCTCGCATTTCTATTAAAATTATACTGTTAAATACAAATTGCTCACATCAAAATAGAAACTATATGGTGGCTTCAAAGATTTATTTACTTGCTCTCAAAGCTTACCAAAAATCAGAATATAGAAGTTAATTGTAATTATTCTTTATGGAACCTTTACTATTTATCATTGTACTGGAGGAATAAGTTATTTAACCTCTAGGGCTAGTCAAGGAAATAATTACACCCATTCATATTTCAAAGTAGGTGAAATTGTACTTCAAGTAGTCTGCTTAAGGCCACTTAGCCACAAGGTGACCTGGAATTTTTATGACTCTGTCCAATACAGGATAGTTATTGCAACTGAATGCCAGGTGCTGGGTGAGATGCTAAGAGTAAGTGGGATGAAAGAAGCATATTTCCCGGCCTAGAATGACTTCTCCTCACAGAATTCTCTCAAACAACTCTACATGAGGTTAAGTGTTAGGATGGGATAAGACAACTCCCAGGGATAACTGACATACTAATTGATATACAAGTGTTTCTTAAGGAATTAGTAAAAAAAAAAAAAATCACCTGGTGGAGAAACATCATATAGAAAGCATTGACTTTTTAAAAAATACCTACATTACTTACAGCATTGTCATTAGGAGAAAAGTGAAGAGCAAAGTGTCAAAAGATCAAAGATCAGTGGGTCGGGACCAACACATAGGAACCTTGAAAGCTAGGCTGAACCCTTATATTGTTAGGGCTGGAGGGGCATTGGGAGAGGCAAGCTTATAAAGGAAAACCACAAACCCAATCTGCCTCTTCTTCCCATCCAGCTTCAGGAACTCTGAGAGATATGTGCGCATACAGTGATATGCGTGGGCTCATCTCACAAACACAGCTGCACAAGCATCAGATTCTGCTTACCTGCCCTCAAACTGCTGTGCCCCAGCAGTCAGTGGGGGCAGAGGTAAGGAACATCTGGCCTGGCCTTGGGCAATAATAAGGTCTCTAGAAATCATCTGATCTGGTCTTGCCAAGGCAACCATGTACATGACTCAGAATTCGATTTAAATATCTAAATGACAGTTGGAAGAAAAAGTGTTCCTCAGCACTGGTAAACAGTTGTAGAAGCAGAGTGCAGACCACATGTATAATGCATGCTGTGAGAGTGTGATGCTGGAATATGATCTAGAAGGGAACTTGTAAGTAAGGGCGCATGTGGGGGGCCAGGGACATATAAAGGTTTGGGGTACGGGGGACTAGAAACCTACAAAATGGTGTTGGATATAACCCAAGTCTCCCCAAGAAGTTCAGCCCAGACAAATCTGCACATCAGCAGTTTATTGAGGAGGCCACCTACAGACCAACCAGCTGGGGTCAGCTCTCCTTTCCTTCAGAGAGTGACCATGAGGTAAGAGTTACATGGGTTTTTATAGAAAAAGTGAGTTATCCAACTATGGGAACCAGGTAGTTAGGCAGCCACAGGAAGCATGGGAACAATGGGTGAGCTTAAATGGCCACAAGAGGCAGTTTTAGGAACAGTGGCTGAATAAATCAGACAATATTGATTCCCGGAACAGCGGGTTACTAGCAGGGCATGTTACTCCTTGTGGTCTGGCCCAAAAAGCAGGAAGCTGGCAAAGCATTTTATACAGAACCATAAAGAGCAGGGGAGCAAACTTATGCAAGCCTGAACCAAAGTGACTCCATTTTGTGACTGCATTTTACAATGAATGTGAGGGAAGGGACCCAGTTGCCTAAGTCCATGGATGGAACTATGCAAAGTCACGCTAAGGAATTTGTGATACTGAACCATACAAAATTGCCATTTTGTAGATCCTAAATGATCAAATATGGACTATTTTACATTTACTTTTGAACTATTTCAAAATGAAAGTGGGACATAAGAAAATGTCAACAATGGATGCCCCAGAGAACCAAGGAAAAGAGTGCATAGCATAGACAAAACATGATGAATATTATGTGCCAAGTGCTTTTTATTTCACTCATCTGTCCAAAGGAAGAAGATTCAAAGATAAGAGAGGTAGGAATGAGATTTGAATCCAATGCCATGTAACAGAGTTGAATCCATGGCTTTGCTGCATATCTAGGGGCCCCCCACGCTTGATTTATCACTCCACTGTTTATGTAATTCTTAATTTTTAATTAAAGAACCCCACATTTTTTATTTTATGCTAGGCAGTACCAACTAATTAGGCCTTGTTTTCTCTCTCTAAGCCCCATGTTCTCTCCCACTCCATAAGCAACCTTCTAAACAGCCACTAAAAGGTACTATTATTTTCTTTTGTACTCCATGACATTAAAAAAAAAAAAATTCAAGAGACAAGCTGACAAAGATCTTCCATCTGTTGACTTACTTCCCAAATGCTTGCAACTGCTGACACTGGACCAGGCCAAAGCCAGGAGCCAGTAACTCAGTATGTCTCCTTCTATAGGTGGCAAAGACTCAAGTATTTAAACAATCATCTACTGCTTCCCAGATTACATGTTAACATGAGACTGCAGTATAATATGAGATGCAGGTGTTCAAAACAGTGTCTCAGCCACTGTACCAAATGCTAGTCCCTCGAAGACACTTTGCATTCCATTCTCAGAGACCATTTTGTATTTATCCTGTGACCCAGAGCCATGATGGGGATGACCAACCAACTCAGACGCTGGTGCTCCATTAAGTGATGATGATCACTGGAACAATTTGATAAAATGTGATTTGATTGCCTCCAAACTACTACCCTTAAGGGAAATGTTTACAACACAAAACTACTTTGTGAAGCAGTGAATTTTCCTGCAACATCCAAAAACAGTATGCCTAAAAATGAAAGTCAACAAAACAAAGATTTCAAAACCAAACGATGCATGAGTTGTCCTGGGTAGATAATAAGTTGTCCTGGGTAGATAATAATTAGTTTACCTAAATTTGTAAGTCTGTCAGCATGCCTTAAAGGAAGAAAATGAACTGACCAATGTTTTCAGAATAATCATTCTGCTTCAAAAACTGTAAGTGAATGCAAGGTACCTTTTTCTCCCTTAGTAAGCAAAGTATTGATAGACAGTCTATGTCTCTGAAACTCCTCTGCACTAAAATTAACCAGTTAAAGAACATTGAAGGCACACCAGCTCAGGTGTCTGTGGTTGTCTCCAGCCCACGGTGACACAGGCACCTATGGAGTAACTATGGCTGGCTCAGAGCAGGGATGATTCTTTGCTCCTCACTAGAGCAAAATAAAGAGAATTGTACTGACCTTTGAGGAGCCACCCTTGGTGCGAGAATTGAGTAAAAAGAGACAGTGTTTCTAACTGCTCTCCCTGCAGCTTACCCAGTCCCTCCAGACAGCTTATCTTTCTGTGCCATCGGGCAAAATTGGGTCATATGCAAATACCTCAGCCAGGCATCTTCACAGGCTTGTTGCCATAGGGATTTTGACCAATCAAGACTCAACCCTGGAATGGGAATGAGGCCAGACCATGCTACATAGAAGGGGCTACCTGACAAAAGGCACAGCTCTGTTGATGGGGCTGAAGATGAGTGAGTACTGTATGGGCCATTGGCAATGTCTGCTGCACTGTTTAGGTTTCTACAGATCTTTAAGTCTTTAATCACAAATCTTGGTATTTTTAAAAAATTGTCAGGATTTGGGGGAGTAGCCAACAGAAGGCTTTCCTAATTACTGTCTCTTTTCCTAAGGAAAAACTAGAAGTTATTTTCCAAACACTAAATATATCTTACTAAACTTTAGGGGCTCAGGGCTCTATGGAGAAACTTAGTAGATTCTGTTCTCCTCAAAACCTGTTTATCCCACTTAAAGAAAAATAATACAATAAAAAAATTCCCTTAAGCTAAATCTGCCTGATCATTTAAGAAACATTTTAATGCTTCCAGTCCCACAAATTCCCAACCAATGCCCCTTTAGTGCTCTAGTCCACTCTCATTTGTACTAGCCTAAATTATCTTCCTCTTCAAGTTTAAGGCTCTTTATCAGATCATTGTAAAATAAAGACATTGGAAATAGCTTACACATCAACAGGAAAAAGTTAAACAATGGTCATCCTCACTTTGGAACACAAGATAACTATACAA